AGTAATTTGAGTAATCGTTACTACAATACTTGGTGCGTAAAGTAGCTCGTATCGTAATCGAATCAATATTCTTGGTATCGCCCTATCAATAAGCAGTACTAGCCATTGGTACAAGCTTACCTTGCAGTTACCATTGGAGCCAGTAATTTTCAAGCGCCAGAGTCAGCGTCGTATCTTTCGACAGTTTGCAGATTTGTCCCATCTGATCCTCCAACAGCATATACATCACAATCCATGACACAGCATCCTACACCAAACCACGATTGGTTCATTGAAGACATCTTCATCCATTTTGGTAAACGACATCGGGTGTCATAATATTCATCTGGAAAACAGGCTTTTAAGTCAAGTTCGATTATTTTTGATATCATATCAAAAACAGGTTTCGATTTGAGGTCGGCAGATGCGTATACAACGATTAGTTCACTTTTAGTGCTTGAAGATTAAAGAATGTTCCATATGAATCTTGCAACGATTGCAGCTCTCGTTCGGGAAAATTCCGGCTGTACAATTCGTGCTTTGAATGATCCAACAAAGAAACGAATGCTCTGCTGTTAAGACTTTCGAATCTAGAGTCAACCTGCACGACAATGCTATCGACTACACAGAAAAACATTTGACGGAAGGACGCCTTTACATCCTCTTCACTTTGCCCGCGTTTCAGTGCTACTTTGACGATACTTGACGTAAAATTCCAATAATCTACAAATTTTGTTCGTTGTTCTTGAATCTTATCTTTCGTCTCGCGAACTTTCGTGACACAGAAGACAATATCGAACTGCTTACTCTGAATGATATTATACAAAACATCCGTAAGACCAAATATTTCCGAAAATATTTTAAGGCAGAACACAAACTGGAAATCTGCAAGAACTTGTCGGTAGCCCCTCGCTTCGTTTAACGTCGTACCGTCAAACTCGTCATTATTTTCGGTCATCATTACCGTGCCAACCAACCGTTTGAGCTTGTACACAGTGATGTGTGTGGTCCCATGTCTGTAAACTCTTTTGGTGGATCGCGCTACTACATCACATTCATCGACGACTATTCAAGGTATACGTACATTTACTTCATGAAGAAGAAAAGCGAAGTTTTAGAGAAATTAAAGGAATTTCATAGTCATGTTCGCAACATTACTGGCAAACCTATCAAGACCCTACGATCTGATAACGGTGGGGAATATTGCTCACAGCAATTTAAAGATTTCCTGAAGAAAAATGGTATCATCCATCAGTTAAGTGTACCTCATAATCCGGCGCAAAACGGCATTGCAGAAAGAATGAACCGTACCATTGTTGAATCTGCTCGTTCTATGCTGTCTCATTCACATTTGCCAAATGAATTTTGGGCTGAGGCTGTAAATACGTCCGTCTATTTACGTAATCGAAGTCCTACAACATCAGTAAAGGATATGACTCCATACGAATGTCTATATGGAAGAAAACCGGATGTAGCTAATCTATGAGTATTTGGTTGTGTGAGCTATGTACATATTCCAGAGAACCAGCGTAAGAAGTTAGACCCAAAATCCCGGAAATTACTTTTGTGGGATACCCTGACGGAACAAAGGGTACAAGTTTTATGACCCTATTGGATTGAAATTCATCCGTAGCCGTGATGCAATGTTTGTGAAACACAATTCCATGACTTTGGTGAAGACAAAAGACCATTGACTGCATTTGATCAAAATAAAGAGCAAAATGTTCCTGTGATTATCGAAGAAACCCCAACGCAAGCAGGTAAAGATTTTGATTTGAATCCAATTATCGAAAACGTCAACATGGATGCAGAAATCAACGATAACGAGCCAGTGGGAGTAACGTACGAGGAGAGATTTATGAATGAAGTACAAAACATTGGTGAAAGGAGACAAAGAAGACCTCCCCAAAGGTTTGATGAAGAATGCTACATCGCGAATGATTTAACTGCGGAAATCAACGAACCAGCAAACATCAACGAAGCCTATTCTGGAGAACATGGACATGACTGGAGAAAAGCAACCGACTCCGAATTTCATTCACTTATCGAGAACGATACTTGGGAACTTGTCCCATTACCAGATAATAGGAATATTGTTGGAAGCCGATGGGTTTTCAAGGTGAAGAGAGACGAAAATGGAGAAATACAGAGATACAAAGCTCGCCTAGTTGCACAAGGCTATTCACAAGCTGAAGGTGTCGACTATCATGAAGTATTTTCACCCGTCATACGAAATACAACTGTTCGATCGTTGTTAGCTTTAGCGAATGCAAAAGACTGGGAAGTTCACCAAATGGACGTTAAAACAGCGTTTTTACAAGGAAATTTGGATGAAGAAATTTATATGCAACAACCTGAAGGTTATATTAGTAAGAAGCATCCTGACTATGCCTGCAAATTGAGAAAAAGCATCTATGGTTTAAAACAGTCAGCCAGATGTTGGAACAGCGCCATCGACTTATACCTGAAATCAAAAGGATACAATCAAATGAGCTGTGATCCATGTCTGTACATGAAATCTATTAAACAGCAAGATGGAAATGTGAATTTCGTGATACTATCTATTCATGTAGATGATATTCTCCTATTTTCCAATTCTACGAAAATGCTGAAGGTGGAGAAGAAAGCCATTGCATCAAAGTTCAAAGTGGAAGATTTAAATGAAGTCAAACATGTCCTTGGTATGCTGATCAAACGAGACAGAAAAGGGAAAATTGACAATTAGTCAATCAAAATATTTGGAAGGAATCTTGAAACGATTCAACATGGAACATTGCAAACCTGTTTCAACACCGTTAGAACCTGGAAAACATTTTCAGAATCTGCCCGAAGAAGAGACCGCAACAAATATTCATGAATATCAAAAACTTATCGGATGTTTGACATACGTGACAACAGCAACTCGACCTGACTTGGCATCTGCTGTAGGTATTCTTTCAAAATTTATGTCAAAGCCAGGAAAGGAGCATTGGCAGGGAGCAAAAAGAGTGTTGAGATACCTAAAAGGCACAATCAATTATGGTCTTGTTTTCAAAGCAAAGATTCAACATGCGAAGTGGTTGGATATTCAGATGCTGATTGGGCAAGTGATGTAAATACAAGAAGATCTACATCAGGATACGTGTTCCAGATAAACAAATCAACCGTCAGCTGGAGCAGCAAGCGACAATCTTGTGTTGCAAGATCTTCGACTGAAGCTGAGTATGTTGCACTAAGTTATGCAACACAGGAAATCATATGGTTACGACGTTTACTAGCGGATATTGGAATAAATCAAGATCAACCATCTATACTGAACGAAGATAACCAAGGGCAATTGAACTTTCGAGGAATCCACGATTTCACAATCGCACTAAACATATTGACGTTGCGTATCATTTTGTTAGAGAAAAGGTCAACGATAATTCCATTATTGTTCAATACTGTAGTACAGATCAGATGTTAGCGGATGTTATGACGAAAAGTTTACCAAAGCAAACATTCCAAAACTTTCGAGACATGTTAGGTGTCAAAGAAATTTTAGTTTAAGAATTCATAATTCTTAAAGAACATTTATAGTGCACATTAAGTGGGAGTGTTAGCAATATGAAGTATTATTGATGATGTAATGTTACACTATAATATTATTGCATGAAGTATTTACGTTATCTTAGCACATGTTATGTTATACGGGAAGCCATGAAATATTTTTTCTATCAATTACATTTCTATTCTATGTATTCCTGATTTCTGATTGTAATGAATCACTCAAATATCAACAGAAACGGCGAAGTACTTCTCTATTCTTGTGCACCATCAAGTTGTGAGCTGAGATGTGTTGACGGGCCTGTTCGTTTAGCTGCATGTCGATGCGTGTACGCCCAAAACTCGCATTCATTAGGCAACTGGACAAGCAGGGGCGGATCTAGGGGTAGGCACCATAGGCAAGTGCCTATGGTGAAATTACCAAAATATACTTCGACTTAGATTCGATACGAATTTATCGAATTATGAAACTATGAATAGCACTTTATCGCAGTCAAATCATCTGACTTTTGTTTAGAAATGTTGTGCAATTAAATGACGTAATTTTGATATGAATCGTAGTCCAGATGCGTATGATTATCTATAAAGCTCCGTGTCGTTAGGCAAAGCAGCCATTTTGCCTAAGTCAAGAAGGCGATCTAGCCATTTGATTGGTTGTTAGCAATTTGCCTTAACAAGATGAATTTGCCTAACTTGACATCGTGTATAGGTATTCTGATTGGGCAATTTTTTGCAACCGTATGCTTTCATTGGTCAATTTTTTTTGCCTAACTTGAGCAATTCCAACCAATCATTGCTGTTGATAAGCATAGTTGAGCTAGGCAAATTAGGCAATTGAAAATTAACATACACTCGTATTGTTTCTGAACAGCCTCTGTGCTCAGTTTACGGTTTTGTGATATTTTATAATGTCTTCATTGTGTTGTGGTAATTTTTACGAGACTGCTCAGTCTGCGTTGGCCAAAAACAATTTAAAATGCCTTAATGAGCTTTATTCTCGTTTATTGGTCGACGTTCGACCTATGTTTACTAACGAGCAGCTGTTAGATAGAATTTATGACCCCGACCATACTCTGTGTCGAAATTTTGGAGCTGAAATATATGTGCCAAAGCACGCTCATGACGGAAAGACTTGTACTGCAATAAGGTAAATATATTATAATTATATATATCGTATTGTAGTATTTATATATACGTGTAAAATGGTTAAATCTCAATTTCGCTAGGCTATATCTTTGTCTACAGTCAGCAATTCATTCATACAATGCAATCAATCTACCAAACAAAATATTAATTTCTTTTCTTGAATATTTTTTAAGATCTGAAGCTTCTGGCAATTGCCTCTACAGTTCAGCTTCCTTAGTTCTGGTAGGTAACAATGCATTGGTCCCTACTTTGCGAATTTTAACATCGCTTGAGCTATTTATTCATGCTGCTTTTATGCTCAACACCCATGCTTTTGTCTGTTATAAGTGAGCACAGTGATGACTTTGCCCAAAGCTTAAACAATCTTTTGCCTTTGTCAGTGTCTAAAGAATGTTTAGACACTGGATATACAACAGATGAACTGGTAAAACAGGAGGCTATTTTAAATTGTAATGACCAGAAATGGTCATCTTTTCTTTGTATTTTGGGCCTATCTTCTGTTTTAGGTAGAAAAATTCATACTTTTTATCCTGATTCTGGTGAAAGTAGATATAAATTGTTATTTAATTATATTGTTCAGCCCCGGTTATTAAGCCAAAGAGGTTTGGATGCTATTAATATTTTGTTTTGTCATGAAGGATCTGTACAACCAGGTGAGACTTTTCAGTCTAATCATTTTGTGCCTCTCATTTTCCATGCCCACAGGCTGAAGCGAAAATTGTCTAATTCCTGTACACAGTCTAATTCTAGCAGCTCAACAACAGAGAAACGAAAATTTGTCAAAATTTTTCCAAATATTGCACCAAAAACAGTTGACATTTCAAATTTTTTTACTTCAACTAATAGGCCTGCTGCCCAACCAACTTTTAAAAGGATGCCCAATTAGAGTTTTTCTTCTGCTGCAGCTCTTGCTCAGACATTAAATAAAAGCCAATAGTCTTTTGCTTCACACATCATCCCAGGAACTATTGCCTGGTATTCCAACTTCTGGTGATATGCAACCTGCTGTTTTAACCCATAATTTTGATGTTTCCTTGTATAGGGAGAAAGTTAAGGGTATGGATAATTCTGAAATATGTCATTTGATAAAAAATGTATATAAACCAGATAAAAAGTATCATTTTCCTAAATCTAATGGCAGATCATTTAGGCATGATTGGCTAGACCAGCATGAATGGCTTTGCTATTCACCTTCACAAAATGGTGCGTATTGTCTATCGTGTGTGTTGTTTGGCAATAGATTCCCAGGCAAGGCCAGTAAAGTAAAAAAAGTTGTTTACTGAACCTCTTCAAGATTGGAAGAATGCTAAATGCTCTTTCACTCAACATGCTGGAAAAAGTAAAGGGAGGGAAGTCGGTTTGCATGCATCCACATCACCAATTTTGATGCTTTGCGTTCCCAAATATCAGGTACTCTGCAGCCTATCGAGATGATCATGGATGCTGGTATCAAGAAAGAAATAGAACAGAATAGGAAATACTATCTCCAATTATTGATTCTGTCATTTTTTGTGGACGTCTAGGTTTACCTCTTCGTGGGCATCGTGATGATTCCAAGTATCACCCTACTGTTGGTTGTTATTCATCTGGAGGGGTTGGTAATTTCATTGAAACACTCAATTATGGAGTTAGGAGAGGGGATAAAGTTTTAGAAAATCATTTAAAGAATTGTGGTAAGAATAGAAGTTATATTTCTAAAACAAGTCAAAATAAAATCATTAAATGTTGTGGCCAGGTAATCAGTAATCAGATTATTTCTGATATCAAAAAGTAAGTTTTTTCTGTTATTGCTGATGAAGCATCTGATTCTTCACATAAAGAACAAATGTCTCTTGTTTTGCGCTTTGTTGATACCGATATGAATATCAGGGAAGAATTCATTTCATTTCTTTTTGTAAGTGGGGACTAAGTGGTGCTCAACTTGCCAAGCTACTTTTAGAGGCTCTAAAGGAACTGACTTTATCAATAGATGATTGTAGGGGGCAAGGTTATGATGGGGCTGGTTCAGTTGCTGGTTGCACTAATGGTCTAGCAGCTCAAATTTTAAAGCTTAACCCAAAGGCTCTTTATACACACTGCTATAGTCATAGGTTAAACTTATCCATTTGCGATTCTTTGAGTATACGTGTTGTCAATGATATGTTGAAACATGTTAACAATGCCACTAATTTTATTAAAATTTCCCAAACTCGCAATATTCCCTTTGAAAACATATACGTAATTCAGAAACAAACTCGAAAAAGACTAGATTAACAGACGTTTGCAAAACTAGATGGGTAAAACGTATCGAAGGTTTAGATACATTCCAAGAGCTTTTGTACCTGTATACACCACCCTTAACGATATGTCTGAAAATCTAGATGGTGAGTTCAAACCGTCGCTTCAGTCTGATGCCTCATCTTTGTTTCAACTTATTGACAGGTTTGATTTCGTCGTTGCTTTAGTTATCACGAGAAATATTCTTGATTCAACTCTTCCAGTAACACAGTTATTACAGGGTAAGAGTATCGATATAATGGATGGTATTCATTTAATTTCAACTTTGAAAACTGAGGTGGTGAACATGAGGAATTCCTCTGATTTTTATCATGACACCTGGTATGACGAAGCGCTTGAACTGGCAGCAAAAGTTGGCATTGAAGAATGGAAACCAAGAACAGTGCGCAAACAAACGACCAGGAAAATATTCCCCACACAACCATTTCTGAGTATTATAAACGTGCAATTACTCTTCCTCTACTAGATCATTTGCAATCTTCTTTAGAATCACGATTCGACCTTGAGAGTGTGAATGTCTATAAAGGCCTTAGCATTGTACCGACGAAAATGATGTCCATGACAAGAGATGGGGTGGATTGGAAAGAGCCATTCAAAACTGTGGCTAACTTTTATTATGATGATTTGCCAAATCCTTTGGCCTTAGATGCTGAACTTAGGTTGTGGTACACTTATTGGGAGACCCACTGCGGCCTCCTTCCTGATAACATTGCCCAGACTTTAAAATCTGTTCATTTCGCCGGATTTGAAAACATTAAAATTTTACTACGTATTTTAGGAACGCTCCCCATTACCTCTTGTGAATGTGAACGATCTATTTCTTCCCTTAGGACACTTAAAAACTATCAGCGAAGTACCATGGTTGGGCAACGCTTAAATGGTTTGGCCTTGATGCAAATTCATCAGGAAATTGTACCAGATATTGGTGAGGTTATTAATACTTTTGCTATTGGAAATACAAGGCTAAAATTTGTATGAATTTATTCATATGCTAGTTTTTTATTTTGTTGAAATGTCCATATGTTAACCATTTATTGTGCGTTGTACACAATAGTAACGTCAATAGAATTTGCATCAAACTAATAGCTCGCCCGATAAAGGTTTTTTTCCCTATATACATTCCAATCTTAAAACTGCTGAGTACGTGTATGGTACTCGGCCGTTGTTGACATAAATTTACTTTCACAAAAATTGTTAAGCATAAATAGAATAATTTTTCCTTACACCAAATTTTAGTCTTCACAAAGACTCTTTATACAAAGCTCTATTTTGACTATTACATTACATTTACATTCTGCTCATTTGTTGGCAAATGAGAGTGCACATTTTAGGTGGGGGGTAAAGGGTTGGAATTAACTGGGATGGTGTAAGAAACTGAGCAATCTTACATCCATGAAATGTCCCACATAGTCACCCATTTCTAACCAAACTCCTTTTGCTATTTGCTAAAGGTGTGAAAGGCGAGTTTCTGGCGCCTTCAAAAACCAGAGTACTCATTTTTAGGTGGGGGGTAAAGGGTTGGAATTGACTAGGATGGTGTGAAAAATTGAGCAATATCACATCCATGAAATATCCCATATAGTCACCCATTTCTAACCAAACTCCTTTTTCAAAGGTGTGTAGGCGAACTTCTGGCGCCATAACCAGTCTGCTTAATTCGGCTCTCACAGGGCTGTCCATGCCGGATCACGATTTTTTGTTTTGCATTAAAGTGTTCCTAGGCATGCTGATGAGCCCTGATATGGGGCGAAACAGTCTTGTGTGCATTCAATATTCTGAATAGTGAAAATCAACGACCTGGTGATATGTAAGTATAAATATACAATGTTTTTATGTATTTATACGATTGAGATCTACAAGATTCTGCATAGCTGAATGATTAGACTGTTTGATTTAAACAATTTATCGAAAGCATAAATAGTGTAGTATGTTTTGCAAAGTATGACGTCATAGGTTTAGCACTGAATGACGTCATAATGTTTTGCCTATTGTATCCAAAATCCTAGATCCGCCCCTGTGGACAAGTGTGTCTTCGTTTTCTCGTGTCTGTTGACGGCATTACACAGGTTGGCCAAATCATCGTATACCTTCTTGCATCAGACTGTCTTGTCTGTTGAGTTGAACAAAAGACACGGCCAGCAAAATAACTTATTCAATTTTGAGGAGCCAGCCAGCCATTTGTACTTGTCGTAATTTGACGTCTGAAAACTTCGAATAAAGACTTTACCACTTCGCTTGGATGTTGTATGTAGTCCTGGCAACTCAGGAGTGGGACGGCCACCTTCGACGATCTCTCGTTTCTCGGAAAAAGGTCTCAATCCAAATGAGCGGGATAACAGTGATTCCATAATGCATTCAGTCATGTTGTACAGGTGTCGTGAAAATACCTAATGTAGAAGTAGAACATAAAAGGATGAAAATTCCTATGCTATATATTATATAGGAATTTCAATCTTATTTATACCTATTTATACCTTATTATTACATCAGTTACATGATATCTACCGGATACAAATGTCAAAACTACTACGCAAAAGGAAGCTCTTGTCAATATCATAATCTTGTTTTACATGCTACAGATAATATCTTCTACATACATAAATTGCAAGACAATAGGCGCGAAATGTATTGTAGCAGTCGTGATTATAACAATTAAGAGCAGCCAGTTTCGCGCACAAAATTGGCACGGTGTGTTACAAACTGAGGCCATGGCGTTGTTTAATGTTTATATTTTGGTATAATGACGTCATGGCAACGTGTTCTCCCGTTCTTCAAAATGTGTCTGGCACTGACTCGTACGTTTCAGAATATCGGAGAGTCGTGTTTATTATTTAGTATCTTGTACATTTTTAGTCATTAATTTACGAATTCAACGACACAAGACTGACAAGAGCATAGTGTTTTGGTCATAATGCAAGTCATACTTTACCACAACACACGCTTGCGTGCATTTCGATATCTCTGCAGACTGCGGCCCCTGCTTGTTTACGCCCATTAAACAAAAAAACAAACAACATTTGTATACCGGCCAGTGTTAATCCCCGCCAGGGGGGTTGACCGGTCCATGAATTTTTCCACGCCAAACGTCTCAATCTCTCGCCATATCTCTCGAGTTTACGCACATTGTGCGCAGAAATCAGAACATTACCTTTCGCTCTCAGTTAAACGAGAACATTAACGGCGTGAATAATTCGGATGTCCAATGTGTTGAATATACGAATACAATTCTTGCGCTGATATGCGTTTAAAATTGCGAGCGTACAAGACTGTTGACCAATCGCTATCAAGCGGCGCCCTTAGAAGCGCCGCTTGCCTTTTCTCGATATTCCTCGAATAAGAAGCCTCCAAATCTAGATTAACGCATGCGCAAATGCTCAAATTGAGCTCCGAAGGCAAGCGCGCTTGCTTTGGTTGATAAATAAGAAATTTTTAAGGTGTATTTAATCCACTTGACTCATCTTACAAGTGTAGCAAAGTGAAACCGAAAACCACGACAGTAAATCGCGTATAAATAGCAAGCATTTCAACTGTAAAGACAATTTAGACAAAAGATTACATTGACATTGTTTAGAACAGAAAAATTTAAACTGATTTTGCTCTGAGATGGATCCAAAAAATTTTTGTTCGGTAAAATGCTTAGGCCCAGTTCAAACGTCGCATTTTACATGCGCCGAATCAAATGCGAGAATCAATTAAATTCGAAAGATTTTAATTTAATGCTTTCAATCATGCACCAAGTAAACTTTAAGAATAATGGGCTCGGTACCTTCGGTTTAAATAAGAAAATACATTGATAACAAATCAGTTCAACACGAACAGCGAAATTGTACAAACGAAAAGTAGTGACCATGAAAGGCAAGGAAGGAAGAAGGCAGAGTTGCCAAGTGTGGTCAGTCTATCTTCTCCGTGTATTTTCGTTAAGTCTGTGTCGTTATAGTAAATAAAGTAGGGCTTCCCGGATCCATCTAAGCCCGGACGACATTTCAGTTGTTGAGCATGAGCTTTGATCGCATGGCAGTATGCTTCGTACGTGCCGTCGCACTCACAATCCATCAATGGCTTGCCGTGTTCCGACTCGTACAATCGTTCCTGCGCCGCCAAACATTCTTTATCGCATCGCAAACCGTTGATCAAATTTGTACAATCTTGAAGGAAGGTCCTCTTCAACGTCGAGCATTTCGTGTCCGCCATACAACTCGCCAACGCCAGCGTACAACTCTGCTTCGGTTTCATCGCTTACGCATGTAGACATCTTGAAATACGAGACTTGGACATCAGGCAGTGACCATCCTGTTCACAATCACAACGGTGCAGCTCGCTGCCGAGTTTTGTACCTTTCAGTTTGTGTATCGCACGAAAGCAATCCTCGGAACAGGGCTTCGCTGTGGCAAAAACGTGAGATGTCGCGTTCATAGTTCTTCTAGCTAAAGGCCTCATCTTCAATTCGCATAGAGAGGATACATTATACAACGCAATTGCGCACATAAACACATCCTGGTGGCATTTCTTTCTGGCTTCCGTACACACAACTCTCGGATGCGCTCAATTTCAGCACTTGAAGTAGACCAAGGATGAAAGAGGCCGTGACTCGATACATAATAGCAAAGCCGTTCATCTAGTCAAAAGTTCACCTCACACCATCAAAAACGCCACCACCTTTCTCGCCAATATTGACACCGTTAAACTACAACCAGACACAATCATGATATCTTACGACGACACATTTTTCTTCACATCCATACCACTAGACACAGACAAAGTACTACAAACGAACTATTCACAAACGACAAATCTTGGCAAGCCATGACACAAATTGACAAAAATGACATCTTAGACTTAGTCAACCTGTGTTGAATATGTCGATGGATCGCGAATAGTTCAGAACGATTTATTTTATTTAAGACAATACGAGTTTTACATAAGATAGCTCAACAAAATTAACCTCACTAGAAATACGTATATCGAACGTTTTGTTTATATCACCATATATGGTCAGCGGCCAGTCTATTTAATAAGAATGCTACTCTAAATAAACACCAACAGCCTTTTCCTCTCCACTGAATTCTCCTTACAGAACTCATACCATAGACAAATTTAGGCGCACAAATTCGAAGAAACTGTCATGCAACAACTCGAATCACAATCAGTCCCTAACAACACAGACATGGGACTAAGGAAAAGATGTGTTGACGGCATCTTTGCCATAGTCAAGAAAGACAAAACTGAACAAATCCTACACACCATAAACAATACCACAAAGAACATCCCTTTCACTAAAGCTGAAGACATGAAAACAACTTAGATTCCTCCGTATCCTTCTGACCAGAACAGCACACTAAACACACATGTTGTACCGCAAAACGACCCACACAGACCAAATATTCGATTTCAACAGCAATAACCCAACACAACACCATGAAAATGAGTTTTATCATAGTTTAATATTTTCATCAAGACTATAATTAATGAATTTTAACACATTTTCACATCAAAAAGATTTTTTATAAAAAAATCGAATACACCCCCCATGAAAGTGAGTGTATCATAGTTTCATATTTTCATCCAAAGACTATAATTAATGAATTGTATCACATTTTCTACGTCAAAAAGACGTTTTACAAAAAAATCGAGTCCGCCCACCCTAAAATGAGTTTTATCATAGTTTCACATTTTCATCAAAGACTATAATTTATTATTTTAACACATTTTCCACATCAAAAAGAACATTTACAAAAAAATATAGGCCACCCCCCTGAAAATGAATTCTTTATTTTTATATTTTCACCAAAACACTATAATTCATGCATTTTAACACATTTTCCACATCAAAAAGATTTTTTATAAAAAAATCGAGTCCACCCCCCTCAAAATAAGTTTCATCATATTTTTATATTTTCGTGAAAACACTATAATTCATGCATTTTAACACATTTTCTACGTCAAAAAGACTTTTTACAAAAAAATCGAGTCCACCCCCCTAAAAATAAGTTTCATCATATTTTTATATTTTCATCAAAAGAGTATAATTTATGCATTTCAACACATTTTCCATTACAAAAAGAGCATTTATAAATAAAATAGACTCCACCCTCCCTGAAAGTGAAATTTATCATATTTTCATATTTTCGTCAAAACACGATAATTCTTGCATTTTAACACATTTTTTACGTCAAAAAGATTTTTTACAAAAAAATCGAGTCCACCATCTCAAAAAAGTTTCATCATATTTTTATATTTCATCAAAAGACTATAATTCATGCATTTGAAAATTTTGCCACATCTAAAAAACTTTTACGAAAAATATAGGCTACCCCTCTGAAAATGAATTTTTCATTATTTTCATATTTTCATTAAAAGACTATAATTCATGCAATTTAACACATTTTCACTTTAAAAAGATTTTTTAGAAAAAAATCGAATCCACCCCCCTAAAATTTATTTTTCATCATATTTTTATATTTTCATTAAAAGACCATAAATTATGTATTTGAACACATTTTCCACATCAAAAAGATTTTTTATAAAAAAATCTACTCCACCCCCCATGAAAATGAGTTTTATCATAGTTTAATATTTTCATCAAGACTATAATTAATGAATTTTCACACATTTTCACATCAAAAAGATTTTTTATAAAAAAATAGATTCCACCCCCCATGAAAATGAGTTTATCATAGATTCATATTTTCATCCAAAGACTATAATTAATGAATTTTATCACATTTTCTACGTCAAAAAGACGTTTTACATAAAAATCGAGTCCGCCCACCGTAAAAATGAGTTTTATGATAGTTTCACATATTCATCAAAGACTATAATTTATTATTTTAACACATTTTCCACATCAAAAAGAACATTTACAAAAAAATATAGGCCACCCCCTGAAAATGAATTTTTCTTTATTTTTATATTTTCACCAAAACACTATAATTCATGCATTTTAACACATTTTCCACATCAAAAAGATTTTTTATAAAAAAATCTACTCCACCCCCCATGAAAATGAATTTTATCATAGTTTCATATTTTCATCAAAAGACTATAATTAATAAAATAATACAAAGTAATTAAATATATTATGTAATATGTATTAACGAAAGAAGAAGAATAACATTTATCATTACTTGTTGCCTGCCTTTGGTACGATGATTACATCTTGAACATTTCTTTGCTATATCTACGTATCTTTTCCTGCTGCTGTTGGAGGAATGATATTATCAATGAAAGAAGAAGAATAACATTTATCATTACTTGTTGCCTGCCTTTGGTACGATGATTACATCTTGAACATTTCTTTGCTATATCTACGTATCTTTTCCTGCTGCTGTTGGAGGAGTGATATTATCAATGAAAGAAGAATAACATTTATTATTACTTGTTGCCTGCCTTTGGTACGATGATTTCATATGATACACGTACCTTTGAAGAATGAAATGCACAAACCGGACGATTTACTGGCAATGAAACTGTCCCAGTCGATAACACAGGAATCGCTGGTTTTACAACATGTAGCGTTGCACCAAATGGATAGACAAAATTTAATGATCTATAAGAAAGCAAACAATTCAAATTTCAAAGTAAAATTTCAGTAAATAAATTGTTACAGCAACTAAATGATAGCTAGCGTCAGAAGGTTCATCCTCAAAAGCTAACTATACTGTAAAATTTCTGCTGCTCACAATGCTTCAAACATATATGAAAATAGCCCCCTCCCCCTTCCCCCTTAGGTATATATAAAAATAAATACAATCCTTTTTCTATCATGAAGATGAAAGATTTATAGTAATTATGAAAAAAACAGGTAAAACCAGTAAAATTAACGATCACGTATTGTTACCAGATTCAAGTGTTTCCATCCTAGTTTTCAATGCGTCGATTTCTTTAACTTGCCTCAATAATCTCTGTCGTTCTTCTTCTTAACAACATGTCAACTCTATGAGCGGAAGAAGAATTTAATGTCCTCAGCAAAACCAGATAAAACCAGTAAAATTAACGATCACGCATTGTTACCAGATTTAAGTGCTTCCATCCTAGTTTTCAATGCGTCAATTTCTTTAACTTGCCTCAATAATCTCTGTCGTTATTCTTCTTTACAACATGTCAACTCTATGAGCGCAAGAAGAATTTAATGACCTTAGCAGAAAACAGTTAAAACCAGTAAAATTAACGATCACGTATTGTTACCAGATTTAAGTGCTTCCATCCTAGTTTTCAATGCGTCGATTTCTTTAACTTGCCTCAATAATCTCTGTCGTTCTTCTTCTTTACTTTTCGTTTTTGTATCGTTGATAAAGTCTTTAAAGTTAAACTATTTAACGTCTTCACGGCAACGATAGTCTTTCCCGAGTTCTGTTTCACCACATCAAACGCCTCGGCTTTAAGCACTTTACCAAAAGCACCTTCGCCTATCGCGTGCAAAAGATTCAAATTTTCTCGATCAATTTCCCACTCTGGATCAAGATGTATCGTCATTTCACTGATCTATTCAAAGGATAAAAAGTAGTGGTATTTTTGCGTTCAACTTTGGAAAATTGTTTCGTTTATTGTGATACTCACGTGCGATAAATTCGAGTCTAGTCTTACATGGCGCGAACTCTTCAACAGCGGATTCGTCGAGCGATTCGAAATAGATGATGATGTAGAAATCAATATCTGCCTGCCATTCGGAGGATTGATTGGTACGCGATACGCCGCAAAGCCCTGCCTGTGTTTCTTGTGTTTTTTTGCGCTTGAATATTAAGAAATACAAAAACACTGATCCCAAGAAAATTGCAGCAAAAACACTGCATACTAAAATGATCAGTGGCGTGTGTGATTTCGAAGACGATCTCTCGATCGATTCCTTGGTGTTCACTGATTCTTTCATTTCCAGTAGCCTACCACTGGTGCTGAACAACGACAGAAATTTTGACGAGGTTGAAGGCGTTGTAAAAATATCTGCAAATAAACATTATTAATTTTACAAAAAGTGCAAATTCAAACCATGATTACAATAACATTTCACGTAGTACAAAACTGGCTTCGTAAGTCTTTCGATTTTTTAATTGTGCAGACTTAATCTTATTTTTTAATTTCCTGCGGTGTGATTGGCTGCGGCAGCGAGCGGCTACTTTCGATATCTTGATGGTGCTCCAGAAGTGTTGTTTTTTTAAGCGATCTTGTTTACTATATAAATTGCGAATTTTTAAACTTTATTCAAAAGCTGCGTAAGTTTATTAAAAAAAAGAAAATTTTTTTCAGATGGTAGTTACCATAGCGAGAGTTAATTTTATCATCTAGACGAGGAAAACTTTGTAAAAAAAAACAATCCAATTTTAGTATCTACATCAAGCCACATCGGTGACTTTGCAAAGCGAATTTCTTATAGAAATAAAAAATAAATGTTATTTTTCCGTACGGTAAATAACACTGAACATTTCACTGGCTTTGGAAAAACATGCAGATAGAAAAATATTGATTCTGAATAACTCTCTCCATTTGCATCAAGTGCGATCTCACAGTAATAATATCTTTCGTCTTCCTTAGTCACGTTATCACATCTGAAGCTAATACCCATATATCGAGGGGTATCGCCTATCCATGTGTATCCCTTTCCACTCGTATCATCCACGTACAAATCTGGCATAAAATGCTTCCGTTGCTTATTTTCACCTTTGCCGACAAATATATACCATTCAAACCATGGAAGATGGTCACACATAGCCTTACAAGTGTTGGTCGCGTTGTCACCTTCGTACACAGTCATGTTCTCCAAAGGTAGAGGAATTGGCGTCGTTATCATCATTGCTTAAAAACATAAATTTTTACAACATGAACTTTGAAGGCTGGCTAAATGAACTAAATAAATAACTAAAAGGCTACCTTATAATGTCTGAACTTTCATGAAGCGCAATTTTACTACGAAACACACGTGTCTGGGGGTCAAATCCCGCAATCTAGTTTATCGTTGTAAATCAACTGTCTTTGGGATGTGGGGTAAAAAGATTGGGGCTGGTTTAATTGGAGTTGATTTCATTAACATAGTCTGGAAAAATGACAAGTGGTTAGATGTGTAAGTCAAGAGTACCAATGCATACATGCTAAACTTACAATATGATGGTGCTGAAGAAACAGTTCTTACTACTTCATCCCCTGATTTAAATTTTGGGTATGTCACAGAATAATATGGTGTTCCATTTTTTGTTTTTTTTTGGCTGTCTGTGAAGGTTTTCATTGAAATGAAGTACTGCCAGTACGTGCCTAAACAGAACAAACCATTTACCATGTAATTTTTTTTCTTGACTAGGAAGAAGTAAAAAAGCCTTGGCAGATAAAGAACAGTGATTACAAGTTACCTGCAATATGTACCAAGCCAAGAAAAGTGGGTCATCTTTGAAGATAACAAGACACATTTACATGCATTTCCAGGTTGTGCATACAAACTTGTGTAATTTAACTTGTATAATTTTGTACTTACAACTCTGCGGTCGCGATTGCTCTTATCACCTTGGATTGAAATGCCTTTTACAGAGTCTATGGTTGGAACAGCATCAGAGCGCAATTGTCGTCTCATGTTTAGCGATTTTGCAACTGTTGCGTTCACGGTGAATGCAGAATCTGCAAAATGCATTGAACATAGCACAGAGTACTGCTGAGGAACGAATTTTGGCCTATGTCTTCTAACAAATTTTGTCCATTTACTCGGCCTCTCCTTGTCATTCATGGGGAAACGATGTACTGAGACACCCTCTGTGTGTTGACTGTTTGTACAACTTTTACCGTTGGGCCAACCAGCAACACAATATTGTCCTCCTCGACGATTTTTTGCAGAATTTTGCCTACTCGCCATATTTTAACTTGTGGTGTATCGTTACGTTTGACTAACTTAATAAAAATTATTCTCCTTATATTATGTGCGTTGTGATAATATTGCATGGGTTTTAAAACCACAGACTACGTCAAGGATGCGACACCCATATGATAAGAATGATAAGTCTAATCCAGAAGTTTATAAAAGTAGTATACATTGGATGATTGGAAATAAGTGCGTTACAGTTAGTTTCTGCATAGGCGTACGGGGGGGGTGGGCTGGGGGGGCTGCAGCCCCAATTTCTCGAGAATTTGTGTATTCGGGCAAGCATTTACATGATATTCTGGCAAGATACTTACTACAGTTTTTAAATTTTCAATATTAATCTACATCATTTCTATATCATAAACTGCTTCGGTTCTTGAGCGTGAACGGTCTTTTAATGGATGGTTTTTAAATTGTTTAAATTACTTAAATTTCAGGAGGTAAAATAAAAAATCGCGTAAAGTGATTGGGTGCAAAATTTTTCTTGAGACATAATAGGAGAATTTTACATCCGCCCCATTATAATATAAACAAATTACGTCACGAGAAATCGGTCTATTTACTAGCGATATTGCGACGAATATATTCGGTGTTTACAACTTTTAAACGAACACGAACGCCGATATTTTCAATCAGAGCAAAGCTTTTGGTATTAAATTTATCCACATAACGTTCTCCATTTATAAAAAAGGGCTGAGGTCAGTAAAAGTCTTGAAATGTCTTGAAATTGCGAAAAATCGTCTCCCCACACGCTATCCGTTATACATTAATATATAGATTAACAATCGCTGCGATCCCCAAAAGTGATTTTTAATTTTGCATGAAAATTAGGCTTCGTATGGAGAGGCACTGTCCATTCCATTGATTAGATTAGTGCCATTCACTCTATGATTGTTGTTCAAGGAAACTATTATCCACAAGGGGAAAACATTTAGTAGCCAAGCTCTAATAAAGCGTACATATGGCGTCTCGTAAACGACCGTATCGACATCGCGTTTGGTGCGAGGAATGCAGCAAGGAAATTGACAGTGATTATAAGGAGGTCCACTTTCGACGAGTTCACAATAATGAAAAGTTAAGTGTCATCGAGTGATGGATTCATCGGATTTATCGCAGTCAAAGATCAGTGGTTTCTTTGTAAAAAGTAACATGACAACCAAGGATGATAACCTAACCTTACAGGAAACAGAATCGAGTGCTAGTAAAGATTTAGCAGCCACTGGGTCTTTTGAGGAAAATCTACCTGAGATTAATTTGAAGGAGCCCATAAGCGAAGACCAAACGGAACCAATGAGAACGTTTATTGATGTTGATGAATTAAATCCACTGACGCAGTTCAGAGAAAATAAAGAATTGAATACGGTCACGGATAATGAAAATCTTACTTCCAGTGACGCACTGTTCATCGAAGAATTTAACTTAAATCAAAATATACAACGCGTTGCAACACCAGAATCAACGACGACGTCTAACACTCTAGACACAACAGCAATACAAGATTTAGATTCAACAGCATCTGTTCTAAATGAACAGACTAGAAAGGTTTCCCTTAACAGTATGAATGAAGAAGAGATTTCCACCTTGCACGCCCCAAAACAGCCTATATTAGGTGAATATCCTGCACGAAAATTCGGCAGTGAAACATTTGTGCGACGATTTCAGCCTGAATGGTACAAGAAATATCCATGGATTAGTTACGAAGTGGATAAAGATGCATGCGTTTGTTTTGCCTGTAAAGAATTTGGGAAGAATACTTCATTTGTGCTTACAAATTGGAAGAAGTCGTCAAAGCTGGCAAAACATGGCAAGAGTGAGAACCACGTCAGATCCATGACAAGATGGCTCCAGTTTAAAGCAATGGAAAGAAAGAAAACCTCCGTACTACAACAGCTGAATAGTGCACACCAGGACCAGGTTGCTATTAACAGACAATACTTAAAAGTAATCATACAATCTTTGATGTACACTGCACAACAAAATGTTGCAATTAGAGGTCATGAAGAGATTCGGGGTGATATATGGGAGATATCTGATATAAATAGAGGAAACTTTCTCGAGTTACTTTGCATAAGATGCAACGATTTGCCTTGGCTGAAATCTAAACTTCAAAGCCAGCTGCAGACACATGCTCAGTGGACATCCCCTGCTATTCAAAATGAACTACTGGAAATAGTAGCAAGTGTCATGCTTGAGAGGATAGCAGAAGAAGCAAGAAGTAGCGACTACTACGGAATAGTTGTCGATGAAACGGCAGACATCAGTCGAACAGAGCAATTATCTCTTTCCTCAGATATGTTTTCAATGGCGAAACCAAAGAGACATTCACTGGTTTCTATTCAACCAAATCTACGGAAGGAGAAGTATTGTATGAGCTGTTAAAGACAGCCATTGGCAGGCTAGAGTTGACATTGGAAAACATTGTCGCAGAATGCTTTGATGGCGCTGCAAATATGAGTGGCCCTCGCAAAGGACTTGCTGCACGCATGAAGGAGTGCTCACCTCTTAGCATCTATGTTCACTGCCATGGGCATCGGCTTAACTTGGCGCTACAAGATACGATGACTACAATTGAGCCACTTCAGAAAGCTTTAGGTGTGATCCAGAGTCTCCATAATTTCTTGGAAGGAAGTCCCAAACGCCACTCCATCTTCAATGACATCAAGGTCGAAGATGAGGACGAAGATATTACACTGACTATTAAATCGCAGAGTGCTACTAGATGGTCTTGTCGTTGGGCAGCTGTAAAAGCAGTAGTAAACCAATTACCTAAGATCATCGAGGTTCTCCTTACACTCTCAAAGATCGCGATCCGAAGACCTACAATGACAGCAATTCGCTACTTAACTCGATTTGCGACTTTCGGTTCGTTTTTGGTTTGATGGTATTAAAGGTTATTTTATCTAACACCGATGGTTTGAGCAGGTACCTACAAGGAAAGCAAATGGATGTCGCCACAGCAAAGAAGAGTGTTGATGGCGTGATTAAGACATTAATTGGATGTCGTTCCCTCGAAAATTTCGAACTGTTATGGTCACGGGCTGAAATCATAGCACACAAAATTAAGGAGCAAATTGAAGGTACAGAATTCAATTTCAAAGATGCAAAAGTACCAAGATTCCAACAGCCGTCACGGCGGCTCCAAGCTCTCGTCGGTGAAATGGCTGAAGTAAATGCAGAAGTGGAAAATCGAACAGAAAAAGATTACTATCGTATCACATGCTACTACCTAAGCATTGACAAGATTGTGGCGGAGATGAAATCAAGATTTGAAGGTAGTGATCAAGAGGTCCTATTGGCACTTGCAGATATTGTGTTCAACAGGTCTCCAACCACGGCGAATGTTGAGTTGGTATCACACTTCTATGGTATCGACAGTGAGCTTCTTAGTAGCGAGAAAAATGTCTTTGAGAATATTGACGTTGATTTCCCTTGTGCTGAGAGAAAACGCTGCCAAAATTGTTAAGAGAATGTTCGAAAATGGTGTTCATGAAGTCCTGCCTGTGGCTTACAAAGTATTTTCGATTCTGGCCGCGATCCCGGCAACATCCTGCTCAGCAGAAAGATCTTTTAGCGCTCTTCGTCGCTTAAAACCTATCTTCGAAGTACAATTGGTCAAAACGGTTAAACAGCATTGCCCTAATCAATGTGGAAAGAGCCTATGCAAATAGTACTTTAAAGAACGACATGGAAAAGATAATTAACATTTTGGACAGCGACGTAATCGTAAATCTTATTTCTTTTAGTCTTAGATCGTCGCACATTTAACTAACTAAATTTCTTCTGCGTCTAGTGTTATATATGACAAAATTTCAAATATCAAATAAAATGTAGTTACTTTCGTAGCATCCTCTTAGCAAATTGTAATGATTTTAGCTTATTAATTGAGATGGCCAGAGACAACATAAGAATATCTATGACGTCATACGTCATATGACGTCATATAATTCGGGCAAATTTAGTCCAGCTCCCCCTAAAAATATGTGCCCGTACGCCTATGAGTTTCTGATAACATTGCGTGTGTGTTAAAACCGCAGACTTCGTCAAGGATGCGGCACCCAGTTTGAGAAATATAAGTTAATTCAAGAAGTTTATAAAACTCTAATCGATTGTAAATGTTGCTTACCTATGCGTGCTGCACATTTTCCACTAAATATACGCAATTTTTGCGAAGAGAAGTTATAAATTATGTAAAATTCCAGTTGTAAATATGCTTGTTCGTATATAATTTTTATATACTAAGAGCTTTAAAATTGAACTTCCGTCCTTTAAATGACGTCACGCACTCAAAGTCAAATTCGCATCAAAACAAGCAAATATGCCATGTTTGAACGCAAAGTTCGATGCGTTCCCATCGACTAAATTCAGTGGGCGATAGCTCAAAATGATCAGTAAAATACAGAGAAAACGTTTGTATCGAAAAACGAAATATGAAAATTTCACTTCAGTAGCACTTTAAGTCTTTAAATTTTAACACCATTGTATGTTCTGTCAATGGGTCACCGTCTACCGTGTATCTCGGGGGGTGGCCTTCCGTAAGCATCACAGGTTATTTTCATGCTATCTCCAGTATGATGCAAAAAGAAATTGCTCGAAATCTCCCATGGATCTCGAAAGACAGGTGCAACATCTGTAAAGAAACCGAGAAGTGTTTAGCATAAAAATCAAATATTAGGTTTTTGTAATCGAGCGTTCTTTTAAATTATTGTAAAATTATAAAATAGCCTTTTAAAAACACGGGCGCTGATGAACTGATTGATCGAATTGCTTAATAAACCTTTGTTTCTATAACTCTATATAGAAACACAAGAATTTCAGTCTCACAAGTTGCGTGGTTTGCGCATACAGAAAATAGAAACATTTTACTTGTTCTTTAGCAACTCAAAATAAGCATGGAAACGCTCGTACTTTGTGCTAATATTGTGTTCTATTTCTTAAATAAAATAAATTAATATTGATTGCAAGAGTACAAAAATTATCATGTAACCAGTGATAAACTCAAAACAGTGCTGCTTTAGTATGAATCACTCTTAAATTTAATGTTGGATAAACATTGTTTTCTGTTTTCTGTTAGAAATATACTTGTGTGTAACAATGAATAAACTTATGTTTACGAACAGTGATGTAGCCGCTCAAACTGACACATTTATTGAAATTTCTTCAATCATGAAATGATTAAACAATTGTTCAAAACTTATAAATATAGAAGGTCACGAGGCTGCTCTAAAATGGCGAGAAATTCATGATAACTCGCAAATTCCGTTATTTAGCGCAAGAAATTATTTCATTTATAATAAATAACCCATGTTTTCATATAATGCCTAAGGATCGCCATATAATATTTTGATATTTGTATTAAAAGCCTTGAAAAGAAGTCTGAAAAGACAATACTCACCCCTTTGTTTTGCTCAACACTGGATCTGAATAAATTAAATGAAAAGACATATAGCATTATACGAAAATTAGTAAAGTTATCCATAGCAGGAGTAAAGCTCTCACCGAAAATTGATACTGTAATCTTTCTGCTCACCGTTCCAGCTGCGTTTTAGCATAACAAACGTACTCCCAGCATCTGTCCATTGGACCTTTTTAATCTGAGCGCTTTTTTTCAGCTGCTTGAAGAACAAATTCGTTCAGGCAAACTTCGTTAATGCCAGGTTGATCCAAAATGCATTTCCTTTCATCGACTTCGAACTGATACATTTTACCACGGCATTGCTCTATTCCCATGCAGCATCGGCACTCTTGATGGTTGACAACAAGATGCAACGAACAATGGCCACATTCACACCTTTAATATTGGCCAAATTGTATGTTTCCATAAAGTTATCATAGCTAACGGCAGACGATTCAGATTAAAGTAACACACTAAGAATGACATCTTACCATGAAGTAACATCAACACGGGCATCAAAACGATCTTGCAGCATGTCCTCAACCTGCCGTTCTTCTGCGACTGCAGCTTCGTACTCAGCAATTTCATCGGGCGAAGCAAGCGGTTCAATATTATCGGCAAATGGCAAAATTTCCGAATTAGATTCGTCCGAATTTGCCGTCATGAATTCCGATGAAGAAATCGATGCGTTTGTCTCAATCGAAGACTCAGAGAGCGAGCTAGATCTCGATGAATTTGGCATTTTTTTGCTCTATTTATGTATTACTTTGTATACTTTCCAATGTGCGCTTCTTGCCGTGTTAAGACTATGCCGTCACAAACTTTGCTGATTGCAAATATTCAAAATGGCCGATTTTAATGGCGGACAGGAAAATTAGGCATTTCAAATGTTCATAACTCCCTCGTTATATTATTATTTTTGCTTACATTTTACGAAAGCAATAATTGATATGTGTTTAAACTATTGAATGCTAAAATCGATGATTTTTCAACGTTAAGTTTTTGTCATAGAACCACTTTAATATTGGTGATTGGACATGAATACGATGTCATGACAGAATAAAGACTCTTATCCTCTTCTGTCGTTGCAAGCAATTATTTCCTTTTCGTCCGTCTTATAAAGACGTTAAGAAAAACTTAAAAGTGAATGTGGAAAAGTTCTCATCGCATCATATATCACGCTAAATGCTTTGCGTTAAACTTAGAAGATAAAATAGGTAAATTATTATTCTTTACTTTAGTAATCAAACTGATTGACACACCCCTTACTCGAGTTCCTTCACTGTGGTATATTGCAACTGTACTTCACTCATTTTTTCCTCGTAACGCATGCTGCTATATACATTGATGTGTTCTTCTGACAACTTTTATGTTCGACTCACAGTAATCAATGTTTTGCTGCAACATGGTCTCCAACATTGAATTAACTTATGCTGATTTGTTTGAAGGTTAGTGAAAACTTTTTTCTCCGCATTCATTATTATTAATCATTATTATTAATGGTGAATACCATTTGCAAGTGCCTCGTCTATATCATTTTAACTTCAGCACACCTCGCACATTTCTACTTTTTAGGAAACGTATTTTGAACTGAGATTAGCATAACAATGCATCCTCGTTTAAACATGAAAGCACGTATTACATACTACAACATACTACATTAGCCAACCTCGCGGAACGTTTAACTCGCACTATTCAAATCTTTTTGTGATGAGTTAAATAACTGATTTTGCTTAGAAGCGCCTGCATATTCTTGAATTTAATATGTTGTTTCATACCAGTAATCTTCAGTTTTTAGTAAGTTTGTCATCTTACTTACTTTCATGTCGAGGCATGCTTTAGTGTTAGCATTTCGATGGGGCAAATTACAGCATTTTATTTAATGAGAATGTTATAGGAAGTCGATTTTCTTATGCTACATATCCAGTATCTTAGCTTACATTTTACTCGTGAAATAATTCTTGTCGAATTTCGTACACTCGCTCGGTTCATACTGTTTTACTTGATGGGAAATTTTCAATTTTGCTTGACTCACTTGACTGAACATTAATAGCTAATAACATTTAATCAAAGAAAGCAACAAAACCCTTCGGTTTATAAATTTATTTTAGATGTCTTAATTGTTCAGTCGTTTTTTTGTGAAGTCATGATTAAGATCAAGTATTATTTCAATCGTTAAACAACTATAAAGTAGTGAATCATTTTATATACTACAAACAAAGTTTGATTATATAATACAAACTTCAACATCTTAATTTTTGCAGCTTAAATACAACGTTGCAAAGTTCGGTCGCGAAATACAACAAAATGTACGACCGTTTATCATATTTTATGTAATGTCAGGTTGATTTCTTTTGAAAATGAAACTATTTTGAAAAGAAATTAGCAAGGCATAGCAGAATAAATGTAGTGATATTTCCCCGCAGTTAACATAGGATTGATTTGTTTGGCTTGAAAATATCAACCAAGACAGAGTAACGCAAAAATAGAACTTTCGTATGAGTCTCTGCTCGCCGAGTGTAAAACGTTGTTGGTACAAGTTGCAATTCCTTTATGATAAATCAATATTTTAAAGAGAATTAATTTTTATTGTAAACAAAATCGAATTTACGCACTTGTCAAAGAACGGTAAATCCGAGTATGTCTTATCGCCAATATCTCTAACAGTATTATCAACCAATTCGTATGGAACGGGCATATGTGGCATACCGCTTCCTTCAAATGGAATCTTGTATAAACGCACTTTCAAAAACATTTTTAAATGATATGTGTGATAATATCCTCACCAAGCTAGCTAAACCATTGTACTAAAATACATGGAAGCAAATAATTGAGCTAAATCTTACATCCAGACACTCGAGATTTTACCCAGACACGCGTGTATGTAGTGTTTCGCGATTCTCTCGAGGAGCATGAAAACTGATTGACTACACACGTGTCTGGGGTAAAACACAGCTTCAAAAAATTATTAAGGTTTTGTATTAGTAATTACAGGTAATGTTCCATGTACTTTAGTTCAATCAGCTAAACAGGCGTTTCATATGAACAAACTAAAGGCCTTTTCATATTTTTCATATCAAAGTTTGTACATCATTAATTATCAAACACTATCCAATCATCATCGTTTTCATTAATGGAAAATCGCGTTCCAGAATAAGAATTCTGCTTCTAATTAGCATAGGTTTTTCTTACCAGATCATAAATTTATGGCACATGTCTGCCATGCATGCTAACTACAGACTGGCTAATTGAATACCTTTATCTACCATGTTTCACTTATATACCTGCTCTGGACCCAGTTCCCCGGTTACAATGTTGCGATAATCATCTTATGCCTGGACTTTCTTAGCTATAAATTTCTAAAGATTTTTTTGACCAGTCACGTTTTTTTGGCAACTAAGATATTTCGAAAAGTAAATACATTGAAAAATTAGCAGTCGTGAATTTTAACTATCCACAGATCGGTCTAGCATCAATGTAATTTTGAGAAAAGGACAGTAGATTTTTTTGTCAAGGTCAACGAGAAAAACAAGCCTTGCCGTTTAGATTGCTACATTTCATCCAATGTACATTGTTGATGGGGCCTAAAGCAATGGAGGCACTGCAAGTTTTTAGCGATCGAGGCATCGCAAGTTAGCAATGTCCGTCCGGCGAATAACAGAAAATAAGAATTCTGAAAACAAAATTTATTGCTTACATTTGTGATAGTCCTGTTTGTTTAACTTCGTTAATTGTTTTAACATTGTTCATTTTTTGTTGTGTAATTTTGAGCTGCTGTAAAACGTCATCAAATGCACGCTCGAATTTCCACTTTAAAAATGGCGACATAGTTATCGTTTGCCCGTGTAGTTTGTTTTCCATGGCATTAACATGATAATAATTATTTTAGTCAATATAGCTACAGACCAAAGCGCTAATATGTCAACAATTATTTGAAAACTTAACATAAGATCTTTAAGAAATCGATACTGACTTTAACTAACTTTAACACCTGTTTCTTTATTGTTGCCAATGAAGTGCCAGGCGAGAAACGGATTCTCAATATAATCATTAGAGCCCAACAAATAATTTTGAACACAATCATAAACAATTCGGTTTTGTGAAAGTTATTAAAATAGTGACGTTTCGTCTTGACACAAGACATCTTCAGACTAATAAGGAAGTTAACAAGAATTACAGATATAAAGGCCCTGTTCACACGATACCGGATTCGCTGAGCAATCCGATGCGAAAAATGCACTCTGTTCACAAGATGCCAGATTCGTAAGACGCAACATGAAATGAAAAAAAAGAAAAAAAAAATGAAAGAGGATACCCAGGACAGAGCAGCCTGGAAGAGTCTGATAGAACTGGGTCTCCGGCAAAGACCCGCTACCCGAGCAGGACACAGCGGAGAAAGGTGACCAAAGGTGACCATAGCCAATATATGTTATAAGCCAATATATTTAATATGTGTCTTGTGATGGTTGGTTCGTTTCTGTAGTTGAGTCCCATCAACTTGATCATTTTTATTTATTCTTTTATTTCACATAAGTGGCAAGTGTTCATTTCTTTAGCAATCAGTAATATACACAAAGCTATAAAACTGCAATCCAAATTCGTGATCTTGCAAGTTTTTAGAAGTACTTCATTTCTTACAAACACCGTTATTTTCACAAACTGTTCTAATTGAAAAAAGACGCTATATAGCCATATAACTACAAGACTTTTGACCAACATGGCGTCGAATTTAATCACATTGACGAACCAGTGTTTACCAACGAAACAAAACGTTTTTTTATAGCTGTCTCATCAGTAGCGAAGAGAAAATGAGCCTCTCAGAAGTTCGATATCATACTTCTATTTGCATCTCGATAAACACTTACAACAAAATCTCAGCATGTAATGAAAGTGACAATCATGTAACTCATCAAAATTACAACTGAGCGATAAATTTGAAAAAATATTGGAGTTGTAGCTACTTGTTTAGGAATAATTGTATGTTATAGTGTAGCAAGACCCTTGTAGACTTTGTTACTCGAAATTTCTCGAGTGTCTGGATATCTTTTAAAAAAGCTTTTTTCATTCTCAGATTTATGAAATATCAAACTGTAGAAGTCAGTGTCAAATGTAGCCACTGTTTGTTTAGTTACAAAGTGTATAACAATGTATAATCCTCCCGGTTATCACCATTGTGCAGTGGTGACTCCTGCACTTGTGACACAGGATGTACGGTTACATATTTTATGGACTGTTTTGTAGAGTCATTTGGCATTTGAAATATTCAACACCAAATCATTTACTTAAAAAATCACACATTACATTAAATATCAAACAGTAGAAGTCTGTGTGAAATGTACGGTTTGCTTAGTTATGTAGATTTGGCATTTGACAAATTTAACACCAAATAACTTTACCTTAAAGGCACACATTACATAAGTGTGGAACATTTACATCGAATTTTTTGAGAAAGTGTACTGAAACTTAGTGCAACTAACTAAAAATAAAAATCAAGCTTAAAGAATTGTCACTATTGTCTTGTTATAATTTCATAATTTTCCCACGATTTTTCCGTATAATCTCAGTTGACATTTTTACATGATGGTCAAGCACTTAGCTTGTCGGTAAATTCCGCAGTAGTTCTTATTGCGTACAGGATATGTCATCTTCAATTATGTAAAACATTATTAAAACACATTCTTGTAGAATAATTTTCTTTCTTATGATCTTGTGGCATAGTTTCAAACTGTAAAGAAAACCGCTATAAATGTATATTGAAAGAGTCGTGTTTCAAGTCCGTACACTTAGAAAGTCGAATTTAAGCTCTTGGGCATTTTTTAACAGATATATATTGTGTTTATCCGTGTAATTAGCTAATATTGATTTTGCTTTGTTAATAACGACAGTTTTCAATAAGGAATTTTTGTCACAAGAAGTGATTGTCTCGATTGTCGTACTAATATATCCTGAATTGTAAAACTTTAATTCCAACAATATACCTGTGAACTATAAAAGGGTGTATTCAAAACAACATAAAAGTCAAGGGAATTAAAAATTATGTTTGCAAATTAATATTGCTAAATTGCAACGGCTAAATTGCAAATTTGATCGTAAGTAAACTGCAGTTCCCCGGCGAGTTGCCTCCAGCTGGGCCGTCCCTCTGCCGTCAACATATCTTTGAGTTTCAGGAAAAATGAAGCGGGTTGATCGCGCAGGAGTATACCTAAAACAAAGGCGAATCCTTTGTCAATGAATTGATTAAATGTTTGAGATTTTAGCTTTATCTACTTGTTTGTCCTTGAAACTAAGGTGCATTGCAGTAAAAAACTAAGCTATGGTCGAACTCATTTTATGCTATATCCAAGAAGTCGCCTGCAGACAAAACATCGTGTGAACTTTAAAGAAAAATAACGGTAATGTTTTGCGCGCTTATGTTTAATTATTCCAAACCATCATCAGAGCAACATAATAATATGAATCCTGACACGGTCTCTATACGCGCATGGAAAACACGTGATTTGGACGAGATTTGAACTCGCATCTTCGCGGACTAGTATCCCATTTCGATATCCTTAAGGCGACAGGAATGCGCATAACCACGATTCTTCAATGTTCGTCTTCTTTTCTTTATGTCATTGACGACATTTCTCGGCAGTCCTTTTAGTCTAGTGTTGAGTTGCTTAACACTCAACACCGTTAGCTCGTTGTCTTTCGGTAAGCTTGATGTTGGAAAATTAAAGTTTTGTGGTATTGCAGGTGATGGAACTGCAGATCCACCGCTTGTTATAGACTCGTTATCAGAATCTAATTGTATCAATGGCACCTCTCGTTGTTCACCTGTTGAGCTTCTATTGTGGTTGCGTGTTGTGTGTCTATCGTGACTGTGACTGTCAAAGATATCTGTATCATTTTCGTACACGTAAGAATCACTACCATTGTGGGATTATCAAAGTACATCATGAATTCTGGTGCAGCTAAGTCAGGTAAATATGTCGTATTTGTTAGTTAGTAGGTGAGTTTGGTGGGCGATAAATAGTAGTTACCAAGAATGGTCGTCTATGAGGTTTACAAATTTCTAAACAAACAGCTTCTAACTCTGAAGAAATTAGGTCCTTTCGAACTATGTAGTTAATGGAGCTACGCAACTATAAGCAAACTCCTCCCCCATTTCTTGACCTATCATTTCTTACCACATCATACCCATCAATATGAATCATATTATCAGTTATAGTAGAATCAAGACGGGTTTCATTATGGGCAAACAAATCAATGTGCTTGCTTGGCCTTGACAACCGTATGTCATCAATCTTCATTGGAAGACTGGCTATGTTGAGAAAAGTCATTTTGAAGCCTCTAGTTTTAGGAACCAATTTAAAACAGGTAGAAAAATCGCTGCCCACATTCTTCTCATCTAAATTATCTAAATTAATTACTTGCTTAGTTGTCTCTTGACAAATCTCAAATAATTTGTCCATTCTTTGCTCCATCTGCCAGGTCTTTGAAAGACTGGTGGGTTGTTGACTGTGTCGCAGCATCATGACTATTGATTACTGGTTTAACAAAGGTGCAAAATGCACTACCTAGTGATTTGTCTCCAAATTTATTTGAGTGGAGATTGGAGCCATTTGGAAGATTTTTGCCTATATCATCATTATTTATACATGAAACATTATTTTTAGCACATAATCTATAAATTAGAGTGTTGTAATAAGCAATTTTACTTAATGGGACCTTACCATCAAACATTTGATTACACTGGAAATTCCCACTTTACTTGCTTGGTTCTTCACATCAGCAATCGAACTTTCCATGCTTGTAGCAACTTCATCAGCATCACTGTTGACCAGATCGTTGGTACCAACATGAAGAATTATGGTATCATATTCATCTTAAAAGGACTCTAGGAAATTTTGGTGTACATCCTTTACCTTGGCACCACTGAAAAAATGGCAAGTAGATTTCCCTCTGGCTGCCCTTGAGATCTTTTTGGGTTGATATGTTTGACCATTGAGTCACCAATGATCAGAGCTCTTGAAAATGATTCTTTGCGGTTTTTGTAGTGGGTCTGCTCTTCATCTTCCTTCGAAATGCCATTCCTTGATTCGGCAAACTTTTTCTTATGCTTACTGCGGTAAGCTTTCAATTGTGCTTCAGTGTTGATTGTTTCTGTAGGTTTAGGGCTAACTGTAGGCAATGCTTCATCTCCATCACAGTCTTCTACTGGAAGATTTTCAAATCTATTTTCAACAGGAAAAGGATATGTGATCGATTTGCTTTGGTTAATATTGGACTGTTTCGTACGTTTGACAACAATCCAAGCATTTTGTTTTTGTTTGGCATCTAGGAGTGACAAGATTCGGTCGTTGTCTTCTCTTAACGAGCTAATAGTTGATTTTAACTGCTCTATTTGGGCTGCCATTTTCATGTTATCGGCTATGAGTACGGCTCTTTCGTTACTTTCAGTTTTCTTTCAGTTCTTTCTTCTAAATTGTGTAAACGAGCGAGGATTTGGCCAAGTTTTCCTTCAACATCATTAGTGACTAACTCTTCGCTTTCTTTATCTGAATCAGTAGCTTCAGTAGTTTCCGTAGGCAAGATTAGGGACATGGCTTTTTGTATGTGGTCATCTTGACAATAAACTTGGTCGGTAGACGAGTATTTTTTTGGGAAACTGTGGCTTTTCAACGTTTCAAGGAACTTGTTGTCTGTGTCATCAAGAATGGTTATCTTTTTAGATTTTGCTCCGTGCCATTTGAAAATGAATTCTTCGTTTGAGCTAGTGAACACTTTCACGTTGCCTCCAGGTGATTTCCATTTGCCACGTCAGTTCAGCGTATTCGATATAAAACATTTTAATAACTTCAGGTTTCCATGCCATTGAATCTGTTTGTCAGATATTATAAGATTATCTGTTTTTACATTCGATTTGACTGTTTTCAAGGAATGATTTTTAGACTCAGAAGATAAATTTAATGAATTCGAGGAGCTCGTCAAGTCATCACTGTCCGCCATCTTACCACGTGCTCCCTTGAATTGTTCGTGGCTTGAATAATTGACGATTTTTCGAGATAAGAATGCAGTCAATTTAAGAGTGTTATACATATGACTCGCTCCATTGTAATCCCCGTTGGTGAACACGTAAAAATTGTAAGTATCCAATAGTTCTCCCCATTAGACTGTCAACTTCAAATAACTTTCATATGGCGGTTAATTTTTCAATTTTTATGTATATATCCTCAAGCAATCTTCTAAGCCAAATTCCCTCTTGGCAAGCAGTACTTAGAGCAATATACTCAGCTTCAGAAGTTGACTTCGACACACAACCTTGTCGCTTACTGCACCAACTAACTGTGTTATTCTCAACTTGAATAACATACCCAGTTGTTGAACGTCGTGTGGTCAAATCACCTGCCCAATCGGCATCGGAGTATCCTCTTAGGACAGGATCGCTTCCATCTGAAATGTACACTAGACCAAAGTTTAGTGTTCCCTGAATGTATCGAAACACTCTCTTTATCCCTCTCCAATGTTCTAAACCTGGATTTGTCATGAACGTCGAAAGGACACAAACAGCAACTGCTAAGTCAGGCCGACTAATGAGTTTTGCACAATTCATACATCCAATTGCAATTTGATATGCTTAGACATCGACAAACTTTTCCCCTTGTGATAAAGCTTCGTACTTCTTGCCAAATTCTAAAGGAGTTGACACATAGAAATTACAAGCAAGCCACATGAAATGCTTTTTCGAGTTGATTTATACAAACAGCCAGTGTATCCCCTTAAGGGAAACTGTGACAACTGTTCTTCTATTAGAATAAGCAGAATAGCAAAGTGGAAAAGTTGAATTTTTAGAAAGGCAATATATTTGCTCCAGTAAATCATTTGCCAAAGAACATGCTTTTGAGGGTTTTTTCGGAAAGGCTTCCAATGCAAATTGTACAAAGCTTGTAAAACCGGTTGCTAGTTTTCTCTTCCAAAATTCTCTTCTTTTCTCAATATTGCTATACAAAGTACTATCTTTCAAAAGAACTTAACACTACATATCATGAATATATGAATACGAGCCTCCTCCCCCAGTTAACAATCTTTCTACGCCCATGCTCGTCCAGTTACTCAGCATAAACAGTTACACTCGCTGTTTAACACTGGTTTGCGCATGCATCGTGCTGTATTTTGTACAACTTCCATTTGTAACTGTTGACTCGTAGAATTCCTTCTAATTTGCTTGATAATGTTCTACGTTGCTTACAATACACTGCTGTGTTGCAGCTTCTTTGTAATTAATAAAATGCTTTACATTCACTTGTCATCTAAATATAATAGGGAGCTTTAGCACGAGTACGGCTACATGGTTTTGTTGTCGCAACAATGTTTTCGCGCCAAAATGACGTAAGTCGTACTCGTAGCCTTTGCTAAAGCTCCCTAATATTTTGTTTCGTACGTCATTTTTAGGTAAGTGAGCTTGTCGTGGCATATTTACTCTTTAAGAAACATGATTACAATGAGTGTGGTCTCACTCACTTTTTTGCTGTTGTTTTTTGTTATTTTTTATCTATATTGTAAAATTTTCATACTCTAGGTGTCCAGTTTACTTCGAGAAGTCACTCTGTCTTTCAACTAAAACTCGTCGGGAGTAATGAGATTACTGGGGAACTAAGTCAAGGCAGGATTATGCATATTTATATTTTTGTCTCCAGTTTAAGAATTTTTGAAATAGTTTGTCATATTAGAATATGGATTTTGACTATCGACTTAGTTCTATATGATTAGTCCAGCTTTTATTTTGCTTTAACACGTTTCCACGCGGTAAAACAGGGACTGCGCAGCGAAATCAAATCTGGAGGGTAAAGCCTGTTTTCCACTAGGCACGTGCAGTGAACTCCATATATATATATATATATATGGAATGATAACGACAATACATTTTATAGTTAAAAAGTTGAAGCCAAAGTCCTAGTTTCTTCCGCGGTTTGTACGTCAGTTCCAGTCCTTCAAAGTCGAATATTCACGCGGTTTGTACGTCAGTATCATTCCCCCGAGTGCCAAACATACACGGCCAATATAAATTTGAATACAAATCGCGAAAGCATAAACATATAAACAACATCACTACAAACAACACACCTGGCTAACTCCTCGCAAAAGGCTATTTTTTACAGCTGAAACTTTACTACAGTGAGCTCGTTGTAACTTACAACTTGTAACGAGGAAAAGCCAACTGAAAATTACACTGTATGCTAAAAAGACAATACAATAGAAAATATGACGAGAAAATATTCAAGCATAAATTTTTCATTCGTCGGAAGGTGAACAGAATTCATTACGAAATTTAAATATACGTAAATGTAAATAAGTATGCCCATTATTTAAGAAACCTCCTTAGGTTAGTATATAGAAGATATAATAAATATTTAATAAAACTTTTACAACAATTTACACAACACTCAGAATCTTGGTGCTCTCACTAGTCAATCCTATCAAGTGTCTTCCGCATCTTATGCTGTGATGGAGAAAGTTTTAAGACCACAACGTTTTGACACCAATCCTAACGCTCAAGACGCTGCTAGATCGTGGTTGCACTGGTTTGCTACTTTCCAAAACGTTGTAGCTGCTATACCTAACGAAGAAGTGAACAAATTAAAGATTCTAGTCAATTATGTTTCTGCCGACGTTTATCAACTTTTCTGTGAAGCGACAACTTTTACGAGGAAGCTATAGAATTGTTAAAAAATCTCTATGTTAAGGTTCCTAACAAGATATTTTCGCGACATAAGTTAGCTACTCGTAAACAACAATCTGGCGAGAGCCTGGATGAGTATTTGCAAGAATTAAAATCGCTAAGCAAAGATTGTAATTTTCGTAGCGTGACATCAAATCAATATCGAGACGAAGCTGTACGAGACGCGTTTATAGCAGGTCTTCTTTCAACTAACATCCGCCAACGTCTTCTTGAGAATAAAACATTAGACCTTCGGACAGCTTTTGATCAAGCCCGAGCCTTAGATACAACACAGAGAACTTCTGAAACTTATGCAGACGGAATTCCAATAACAGCTGCTACTCTATCAAACAAGGACGGGGAGAATTCGTTTATTAATCAACGAGCATTTGAAAACCAAGATAAAACTGATCAATCTGACGGACATCAAGAGAACAACGGCATAGAAAGGTACGTTGCCGCCTCTTCTAGATCAGCGAAATGTTTCTTCTGCGGTAATCGACCACACCATCCCTCCGCATGCCCGGCTAAAGACGCCTATTGTTATAAATGTAAAAAGAAAGGACATTTCCAAAGAGTATGTAAATCGGTCGCTCCTCAGGCCTCGTATATAGCATTACCATCAACTAAACATACAGTAGCAAAGTCACTAAAGAAAGCCTGTATTGATGTCTTGATTAATGGAAAATCTTGCAAAGCTCTAATTGATTCGGGAAGTACACATAATTTTATACATCCTAAAGTTGCAAGTAATCTGGGATTGAACGTTTATACAACTCAAGAGAAAGTAACAATGGCTGCATCCTCGTTTTCTTCTAAAATTCAAGGCTATTGTCTTACCGATATTATACTTAAAGAGCGAGAGTATGCGAAAGTAAAACTGTTTGTCTTAACAAATTTATGTACGAACGTGATATTAGGACAAAATTGGCAGGAAAAACATGAAAGCATAATTGTTGAGTATGGGAGAAAATCGCCCTCTTTAACGATATGTGGTTTATCAACTATAAATATAGGGCCACCGCCGTTGTTTCAATTTTGTCTGAAGATTGTAGACCGGTAGCTGCAAAATCACGAAGATACAGTGCCGAGGACAGAGCGTTCATCGCAACGGAAGTGTCGAAATTGCTTGAAGAAGGGATTATTGAAGAAAGTGACTCTCCTGGAGAGCCCAAGTCGTTGTAACCAAGAACGAAAGACAAAAGAAAAGACTAGTAATCGATTACTCTGAAACAATTAATAAGTTTACTCAGTTGGACGCTTATCCGATGCCAAGAATAGATGATACAGTAAACGCAGTTGCCCAATATAGTGTCTTTAGCACTGTAGATCTTAAAAGTGCATACCATCAAGTACCTATCAAAAATAAAGAGAGAAAGTACACGGCTTTTGAAGCTAACCATCGACTTTATCAGTTCCGTAAAATCCCATTTGGTGTAACTAATGGAGCGGCGGCCTTTCAACGATCAATGGATACTTTCATATCCGAAGAAGCTTTAGAAGATACTTTCGCGTATTTAGACAATATTACTATATGCGGTTACAATCAGGAGCATCATGATAAAAATTTGGAACTTTTTATGAAAGCAGCGAGGAAGCGTAACCTAACATTTAATGAAAGCAAGTGCGTTTTTTCGGTAACTTCAATTAGTATACTCGGAAGTGTTGTATCTCAAGGAGAGATTAAGCCAGATCCGGAGAGACTAAAACCTTTGCGGGAGCTGCCAGCCCCACGTGATGCAAAAGCTCAAAGGCGTGTCATCGGTTTGTTTTCATATTACTCCCAATGGATTAAAGATTTTTCAACTAAAATTAGACCTTTGTCTCACAATTTAGCTTTTCCATTATCAAATGATGCGTTGCAAGCGTTTGATTTACTGAAAATGATATTGAGAATGCTGTAGTAGGATCAATTGATGAATCTTATCCTTTCCAAATAGAGACCGATGCATCAGAATTTGCACTTTCAGCGACATTAAATCAACAAGGACGACCAGTAGCATTCTTCTCAAGAGCACTAAATGGTTCAGAACTAAAACACTCGTCAGTAGAAAAGGAAGCAGCTGCTATCGTGGAAGCCGTTCGTAGGTGGAAACATTATCTAACAGGTAAACATTTCAAACTAGTAACGGATCAGAGGTCAGTAGCTTATATGTTCAATTTGAAACGTCATGGTAAGATTAAGAACGATAAAATAATGCGGTGGAGATTGGAACTTTCTATGTATGATTTTGACATAGTATATAGAACAGGAGAAGAAAATATACCAGCGGATACCTTATCGAGAGTGAAGGTTATGTCGCTTACACTGGATAAACTTTTCGAACTTCATAAAGCACTGTGTCATCCTGGAGTATCTCGCATGAGTCACTTTGTAAAAAGCCGAAATTTACCATTTTCGATAGAAGAAATTAAGCGCATGACCGAATCATGTAGAGACTGCCGAGAATGTAAACCCCAATACTATCGACCTGCACAGTCACATCTGATAAAAGCAACACAGCCGTTTGAAAGACTGAACCTAGATTTTAAAGGTCCGCTGCCTAGTACGGACAAGAAACGATATATATTGACTATCATAGATGAGTATTCTAGATTCCCATTTGCGTTCCCATGTGAAGATGTTAGCGCTCGGACTATTGTTGCTTGTCTATCAGAATTATTCTCGGTTTTTGGTATGCCTACGTACATTCATTCTGACCGAGGGTCAGGATTTATGAGTGCTGAACTAAAGAGTTTTCTCTTACAGAAGGGTATTTCAAGTAGTAGAACAACAAGTTATAATCCTGCAGGAAATGGCCAAGTAGAAAAATTCAATGGAACGTTGTGGAAAACAGTTTGCCTCGCTTTACGATCGAAAAATCTACCCATTAACCACTGGCAAGAGGTGATGCTGGATGCACTCCATTCGTCTTTGTTATGTACGGCTACAAACGCTACTCCTCATGAACGATTATTTTCTTTTCAAAGTAAGTCAACGAGCGGGGTGTCTGTCCCTTCATGGTTGGCTACACCAGGAAAGGTTCTATTAAAACGTCAAGCGCGCAATTCAAAGTTTGAACCATTAGTGGACGAAGTACATCTAATACAAGCAAACCCTCAATATGCTCTTAGGATTAGGATTTCAAGATGGTATAACAACTTCTGCCGCTCTAACAGAAGTTCAAGACACTACAATACGTCCCACCGAAGACGCAAAGATAGAGATATCTACGCCAACGGAAGAAGTGAGAGGAACAAATTCATATGATGAGAGTGCTGAACAGCAGTCGTCGCAATTACGACGTTCGGAAAGAAGAAGAAGAGCACCAGATCGATTAACTTATGATTAAAATAAAATAAAACAGAACGAATCAACTAACATTTATTAAAGTCATTCTATTACCTTGAGTTAGTTAAGGACAATTATATTAAATGTAGCTAGATATATGTTTAGGTATTCTTTTTTGTTGTTAGGGTGAATGAACAGAATTCATTACGAAATTTAAATATACGTAAATGTAAATAAGTATGCCCATTATTTAAGAAACCTCCTTAGGTTAGTATATAGAAGATATAATAAATATTTAATAAAACTTTTACAACAGAAGGTAAATTTTCAAACGGTATTAGACAGTGTTTGATCTTATTTCCGAAGAAAAAAGAAACTTGAATATCCAGTTTCATAAAAAATATTGAGTCTATAACTCGCATTTTTACTTTTTACAGAGCGATTGTATTTTTAGTCGATTTTGATAGTGCTTGAAATACTAAATGGTTGTCATCTCGATATCAAAAATTGAATATCCTTAAAGACTTTGCATGTCATTTTTTTGACTTCGAAGATGACTACCGCTAAGGTTGTCGAAACGTCAGTCAACAACAACAAAAACAGTCCTTCTCAGGATTATACCAACCTGGACGATCTACATTTACAAACATGTAACGATACTCCCGGGTTCAAACTAAAGACTTTGATATGTTTTAAAGGAAAACCGCAGCGTAAGAGCAGATCGATCAAGTTCACCTCACCTTGCTTCTCGATTTATCACTTTGATTCATTTTCCGTGAACCTTTTCGTTCCAAAAATTTCGTTATTTTTACGCTCTGGTCAAGATCCGAACTCTACCATTACCAAGGGACAAATGATTTAAAAAAATTGAAATGAACACGCGAGAGACTAGAGCCTGACGTGTGATGACGAATGATGACGACAAATATTTTTTTGGCTTCAATTTTTGGCTTCGGTTATCATTTCAGTTATTCAAATGTCGAGTTCACTGGGCACGTGCAATGAACTCCATAACAACAATAAAACATAATAGAACATAATACAACATAATTATAATACAACATAATATAACATAATACAACATAATACAACACAATTTTAAATCTATATTAAATCTTCATAATATTAATGTATATACATTCTGGCCAGTTTATCTGGCTGGAGTAATGGCGGACACATAAGATGCGCACTTAAGAACTGGGTACAAGTAGGGGACAGATTTTTCGCTGAGTGGCGCTTCTGTATATATCTATTCTGTGCCTGCATACTGTGCCCTCGACGTCTGTTGCAATCGTAAAGCGGAGATCGTTCATCATTTCTTTTAAAGTGGAATGAGCTCATTCCGGATCGAAACTCATTCCGGATTCATGTAAACACCCCCTTAAATCGATCTAATGAAGATATAACTGCCTTGCCGTCTTCCTTCTGTTCTGCTTTTAACTGTACGCATGCGCGTATAAGCATACAAAATCAGAAAAACTATGTTGAATTATCCTTGGCATAGTAGAGACTGTAGAGTGGGCTGTCATGCTCTGCTAATTGAGCAGTTTAATAATGAGCTCGTATTTTGTGCTTTTTTATTAATGCAACCGTTTTTGCTCATTCAAATAATGGCGTGCCGCACTTTAAAAGTTTGCGGATTATCGAGTAGCGATTTACTTTACGGACTTGAATTTTAAAGCATATGATCAGGTGGACTACAGGATTGGATCACTGTATCGGATGCCGGCTTTTGGTTTTGGCTTTACATTTTGATCCCACTTTGATCCCAGCAGCCTTTGCAAGAATGCTTCGCCATGTTGGAAGTTATATGAAAAGAAAATAGTGATTTTTTACACAATTCACTGAGGTAAATTTAAAAATTGAAGTGTGGAAACGATAATAGAGAGGCAAAGAAGGCAGCACGAAGAATGCGAGAGGCTCGAAGATGCGATAACTGAAGAATTTTACTGAAGAAACAGACGGTAAAGCATTTTAGTCTTCCAAATCATTCAATCACAATTTACCTACTGATTCAGACTGTATTCATCAGCTTTAGTTATCAGCACGATATTTTCAACATAAATTTACTCTTTACTTTTACTGCATCGAAATGACATCTCTTTCCGCAGCCTAAAGACCAAATCAATTCAGATCACAGAGCCTGGGATCTATTAGAGGTTTGCCAGATAATTCAATTTCTTTGTACCTCTTGAATGACTTATAGTGCTTATCCATTTACAAAAATAAGGTTAACTTTAAAACTACAATCCTGTGCTTAAATAATTTAGCCTTTTTGTTTGCACAACACCACCAGACATTGAATTTGATTTTGTATATCAACTCACCAGTCACATTGTCTATTTAATTGAAATGTCTTTTTGTAGAGATATCTCTCTTCTACTAGCTCGTTGCTGACATTGTATAATGATAATGATGGGTAAGAATAGACATTTTGATAGTTTTTTACGAGCTTAGTTAATTTAAGGTAAGAATTAGCCGACTAGCGTTGCATAATGTGAGTCGAACTACATATTTGCGTCATTGCTATGCTGCCTTAAACATTCAGTTACTGCACATGTATTTATTTCATTGTTGGTTCATTTCTTATACTTTTGAAATGTCTTTCCTGTTTTAGGATGAGGAAAGAAGAAATATCTGCTTTATCTGGGCCCAATGAGTTTGCTGATTTCTACAGCAGATTACGAGTTATCAAAGACTATCACAGAAAGTATCCAAATGAGGTGATATGATTTAGAATGAATGCATATACAGCCATTGGGAAATGTATTTCATTTCGGAAAAAATATTTTGTTCATCGTTTTTTGGATACCATTGAAACACCATGGAATATGAAATTTTCTTGAAAGAAATTGCATGAAATTGATTCGGTTTGCTTTATTTGACATATTTAGTGTTTGAGCTAGAAATTTGGCCCTCTGGAATTCTGACCAAATTACCTATGTCCAGTTTTAGCCAAAATAAAACGCAAACTCGGTATTGTATGTATTGACACAAACTCAGTATTGAGGTTGAGCTCTATTGAATTGACACATGACTTTCAGTGAACCAAAAGAATGTTTGTGAAGGTGAAATCTTATTTTCTTTGCTTTGTTTCACCTAAATTCCAAGAACATAAACTTAAACACCCCAACACATCCTTAGCTGAAGATGCGATTTTCCAGTAAAATCGATCACATTTCCCATTTAAACGTGATAATTGATAAAACTCACAAGTAATATATCTAAATGACTGGGACCGCAGAGGATCGATAATTGGTGGGCTCATACTCATATATGTATGCTATAATCCATAGAAAACAATGGATTTCAAAGGAACTTGATAGGGCACATTATGCACATATGAATATCAGCCCCCTCCCTTCACCCAATTATCGATCATTTGCGGTCGTTGAATTATGAAATGAAGTGTTTTAAACCCTCTCACTGCACTTTTCATGTATGAACTGATCACGTGGAACCGTAAAGAGGTTGTTCGCGATTTCTTGGTCAGCTACTAAAGTTAGAACTTTCAAATTTGATCATCATTTATATGTTCTGTAATCAAAGGGTTCAAGCTCAAAATTTGCGCACTGCTTCATCCCGCGGAAGTGTGATTGCGCGCGCACGATCTTTCGTCATCTTTGCATTTCGTTGTTCACCACGTATTGTTTTAAGACTTTTTCACATTGTTGTCAATCGTGCACTGCTTCATCCCGCGGGAAGTGTGATTGCGCGCGCACGATCTTTCGTCATCTTAGCATTTCTCTAAGTCGTTGTTCACCACGTATTGTTTTTAAGACTTTTTCACATTGTTGTCAATCGTCAAAAGGGATAAACATTAAACGCTCATCCTCATGAACAACGAGGGAAGGTCATGAAAACAGACCATTGTTAATGGGCTTTAATAAACCGCTCTTCCTGTAGTGTTTTTTTTTTACGAAACATTTATTTACCGTCAATAGTGTTGTTCCCAAGTCTGATATTTTCGAGCGTGACGAATTGCTTTCCCGGATGACGTTTTAGCTTATGCTAATTTAAAATTTACACTTTTCATTAGAAAAAGCGATTGTGGTGCCATACAGACTTACTGTAGAATACCAAGTTAATCAATTTTGTATATGTCATTGGTTTGGCAATTCTGATGAAAGTTTTAATTCGTTATGACAATACCCATAGGTCTTCTTATCAATGGCAGAAGCCTTTTTCTTTGATTTTTTAAGACTCTAATTCGGATCGTTTCCTGTGCTAGAGCCCTACGATCTATCTATCTATTGATTATCTATTGTCCTTTACCACCTAATGTGTCATTTTTCCTATCTCTTATATTCATTCGTTGTCATTTTGCGTTCCAGCTTTGGTTGACTTTTCTGATGAAGAAGGTTACGGCAAGTACTTGGATCTTCACGAACCTTATGATAAATATATGAACATCAAGGGAATCGAGGTAATTCAACTACGTTAATGTCAGACTGAAGAGTGAAGGCGATTATCACTTCAGGGATCGAAAGATCTCATGATGTTCGGTGAACTTCATTTGAATTTTGTCAAAGTTGGTTTCGGAGCAGTCACCAATACACATAGTTGAGACTACAGACTTAAGCGTTTGACGTTCGTAGCGAAGAAAGCATTGCCATGCATCTCATGCCTGTCTTACTTTAGTTCTCTCGTGGAAATCTTCGTATGCTATATTGGCCAAACACAAATAAAATTGACATGTTGATTTGATGAAATGAACAACCTAATTAGGACACTTTGGCGTTCGAGAACTTTCACTATTTTCTTTTGTGTTGTCTAGAGAATAGACTATCTTGCGTATTTGGAAACATTCGACCGCTTGTTCGACATTCCCAAAGAGAAGAAAACACACGAATACAAAAGGTGAAACTGAAATTTTGTTTCCATAGAAGCTAAGGCGATAGTCTAAATTCACCACAACATGGTTGCTATGAGTTCGCGTTTGCTATAAAGACTACTTCCGGGTACTTTTTCTTGATAGAGTTCAACATATAACTCAGATTTTTCTAGTCAAGTTGCAAATTATATAAAGATTCCGAGTTTATTTTGTCGTAATTTTCTGTCAATGCCCATTCCTTGAACAAGCACTACATATCTTATCTATATTTAATTTTCGCTTTATCACTTTAAGGTCTCCTTTACGCGAGTTTTGCTTCGATGCAGTAACTTTGTATTAAATAAGGTTTTCCTAAATCCGTCAGTCTGATTGGGTCCTCGATCACTTATTTAATTATGCCCACTGGATTGCGCTGATCCTCTTTTCCTAACTTTAGATACATCATCGTTCTCCTTGATTACCTTTACTACTATTGTCAACGTGTCCAACCGCTGGTCGATCTTGATAAGGTAAGCCGACATCATTGGTTTCACGTGCCTTTGACGTAGAAACTTTCATTGTTTTAATAAAGGATCTTCTAAAACTGAAATGGACTTTCTTCGCAACATTTCTTTTCGCATGCTTACTTTCAAAACGATTGAAGCTTTTTTGATGAGTAAAGTAGATAAGCAGTTGTCCACCGTCCATGTATTCTCCCAACTAATGTATTCCTGCTAATGTTAAACAAATTGGCCGTACATCATGTATGTGATTAACTTCATTAGCAATCAAAACTTTGTCATAAAACACAGGCGAGTTTGTTGCGTAACAACGAAAATACACGTGATTTTTATCTTTTGTAATGGGCTGATCGCATGAGCCCGGTAGCCGGGATTCAGCCAAGCGTTAAATGATTTTGGCAAATGAACACGATTCAATACTTACCATCAGATAAATCTTCTCAAGCAATTTCGCAATATTCTGTATTAATGACTTCTCAAAACATTTAAAATTGAAACAATCAATTTGCCCTGATTTCAAATTTTGAGAATTACAACTGGAGTGACGTGTAGTGGCTTCGCAAACGTAATTTTTAACCTTGAAGTTTTGGCTCCTTTCAATCGCTTGAAATCATCGGGCTAGCTCGCTATCCGGGCCAGCCATTGAAATAAAATACATGGAACACTGCCTTAATAGAAAAGTCTAATAAAATCTTGAAGCCAAATTTTACACCCAGACACGCGAGATTACCCAGACACGCGAGATTACACCCAGACGCGCGTGTAGTTAATCAATTTCCAGAATCTCGAAACACTACACGCATGTCTGAGTGTAATCTCGGGTGTAATATTTAGCTTCAATTATTTGCTTCAGATAGCGTTTCATGTATTTTAGTTCAATGGAGCCAGCTCGCCTCCATATAATCAGGCCCTAAATCAGAAAACGACCATAAGTTAGCTACGTAATTTACATATCACAAAAAATCCAACAGTTCCAGACGTTTCGTTTTAGGAAATGGAGGAAACCCAAGAAGAATTTGATAGAAACTGGGCGCAAGGATGATTTCCAGGATGGCCCGTGAGTGAAGGGGGATATTTAGGCCGTGCATCGAAGATTTGCTTTGTATCGCGCGTGTATGTATGATTTGTTTTTGGTTTGATTATTTATAGAAAGATACCGGAAGTGCTTTGGCGCAATCTGGGGCACATCTTGATCTGTGTGGTTTCTCATCTGCTGAGGTTAGTAAATGTATGACACTAGCAAAAGACATGTGAGGGTACGCATGCATGATATAACAATAAACAGTACTAGTATGGATACGCATTATATAAGGATAAGCACTATACTAGTAAGGGTACGCATGTTATAAGGATAAACACAATACTAGTAAGGGTACGCATGATATAAGGATGAACACAATACTAGTATGGATAAGCATGATATAAGGATAAGCACTATACTAGTAAGGGTACGCATGTTATAAGGATAAACACAATACTAGTAAGGGTACGCATGATATAAGGATGAACACAATACTAGTAAGGGTACGCATGATATAAGGATGAACACAATACTAGTAAGGGTACGCATGATATAAGGATGAACACAATACTAGTAAGGGTACGCATGATATAAGGATGAACACTATATCACGGTCACGTCAATTCATGGAAATATAAGCATCGTCAGCACACAGATAACGGAAACAATTCAACCTGCAACTAGACACGACTTTTGATCATCATTTATATGTTCTGTAATCAAAGGGTTCAAGCTCAAAAATTTGCGCACTGCTTCATCCCGCGGCAAGTGTGATTGCGCGCGCACGATCTTTCGTCATCTTAGCATTTCTCTAAGTCGTTGTTCACCACGTATTGTTTTAAGACTTTTCACATTGTTGTCAATCGTGCACTGCTTCATCCCGCGGCAAGTGTGATTGCGCGTGCACGATCTTTCGTCATCTTTGCATTTCTCTAAGTCGTTGTTCACCACGTATTGTTTTTTAATACTTTTTCACATTGTTGTCAATCGTCAAAAGGGATGAACATTAAACGCTCATCCTCATGAACAACGAGGGAAGGTCATGAAAACAGAACATTGTTAATGGGCCTTAATAACCGCTCTTCCTGTAGTGTTTTTTTTTTTTTTACGAAACATTTATTTACCGTCAATAGTGTTGTTCCCAAGTCTGATATTTTCGAGCGTGACGAATTGCTTTCCCGGATGACGTTTTAGCTTATGCTAATTTAAAATTTACACTTTTCATTAGAAAAAGCGATTGTCGTGCCATACAGACTTACTGTAGAATACCAAGTTATTCAATTTTGTATATGTCATTGGTTTGGCAATTCTGATGAAAGTTTTAATTCGTTATGACAATACCCATAGGTCTTCTTATCAATGGCAGAAGCCTTTTCCTTTATTTTTTAAGACTCTAATTCGGATCGTTTCCTGTGCTAGAGCCCTACGATCTATCTATCTATTGATTATCTATTGTCCTTTACCACCTAATGTGTCATTTTTCCTATCTCTTATATTCATTCGTTGTCATTTTGCGTTCCAGCTTTGGTTGACTTTTCTGATGAAGAAGGTTACGTGTTATAAAATTGACAGCCGTTGCCCCTGCTCCCCACGTTACCGAGGACATTGGTGTGACAGTGATTGCATGCTGAAGAATTATGGAAAGAACTGCGGAAAGCGCTGCGATTGTGATGTTGATCACGTGTGCCATCACGTGACTGGTACTTGTTATCTAACGCGTGTGGGAAGGTTTCAAATCGTCATCAAGGAAAACTTCACAAATTTCGATGAGATGGTACGGCGAAAACAGTTGAAACTCAATGTTGCCGTTTTGATAGCCAAATACAATAACATGTATGAGGAACTACGTCATCTCTCGAGACGAAGGATTCCGGTCACGTCAATTCATGGAAATATAAGCATCGTCTGCACACAGATAACGGAAACAATTCATCCTGCAACTAGGCACGACTTTCTTGCACGTATTTTAGGTAAGAAGCGCTTACCTTCACAGCTATCGGCAACATCTGTCTTTCGTTTATAAGCCGCTCAATTTGATCTTAAATTTTCATCTTTGGAGGCTCCGTCAACTTTAACAAATCGATATGGTATTTTTTGTTATCGATAAGTAGATATAATTTGAATACTTCTCACTGTCAAATTCCCTTCGTATATACCAATCTTTTCACACACGCTAAAAGTAAGTTCATTGCTATAGAAAAGTGCTGTAAACGATAGTAATGTATTACATAACTTTAGTTGCTCGCGATGGAACGCATTATCCCACTTTGCAAATTGCAATTGCAAGTTATTGTTGAGAATTCGTGATTGAAGTGTAATGTCAGAATCGATGAAGTGTATCTAAAAAAATTTGTATTTATTGTTGGATTTGAAATACAGAATCCTCTCTGTAATTTAAGCTTGTCGTTTCAGATCTCAAACCCGGATTGACATCGGATGGCTCTGAAGAAGTTGTCGCAATTAATGTGGTGATGTTCGATGGCGAGATCCTACTTAACGGTATAAAAATGGTGGTGTGCTGAGGTTGAGGTATATGCTCGAGGTATAATAAGACTTTTGGTTTAATATTTGTGAGTAATATACGTATTTGAATGTTTTTATGCAGTGCGGTGTTTGAAATTAAATGAAGATATGATCTTCGCACTTTGTTGGACAATTTAAGCAATTGTCTCATAAACCTGAAAAAATCAGGTGACTCAACGTGAATCGAACCCATGACCTCTGCGGTGCCGGTGCAGTAATCTGACCAACTGAGCTATGAAGTCACACAGTGGTGAGCAGGTCAATTTTGTTGGGCTCATGTTTTCTCGTGAAATGAATGTTATATGAATGTTTTTATGCAATGCGGTGTTTGAAATTAAATGAAGATATGATCTGCTTGAAATGCTTTCTCATGTGTTTCATGCCAGTGGAATTCAATGTTCTTCTTTATAAGTTCTCTCAGTGGAGCGGTGACGTCCGAAATATTTGGTGCAAACTTGGCGATGAAATTAACCATGCCCAACAACCGTTGGACGTCCTGCTTGTTTTCTGGTTTGGGGTAGTTCTTGATTGCTTCAACCTTACTCTCATCAGGTTTGACACCATATGCTGTTAGCGTTTCTCCAAGATATGTTATCTCGGTTTGCCGAAACTGGCACTTATCCTTGCTTAGTGTCATATTGACGTCTGCTACACGATTGAGAACACGCTCCAGATTGCGATCGTGTTCCTCCATTGTCCGTCCCCTGATTAGTATATCGTCGATTTCTGTTTCGCATCCCGGTAGATGCTGAAACTTCTCGTTTACTGTTTTATAGAACACCTCTTGTGCGAACATTACTCCAAAGGGTATTACAGTAAAACGATATCGACCAAATGGCGTATTAAACGTCGTCATGTAAGAGCTCTCCTCGTCAAGAGGCATTTGCCAAAATCTCGAGTTTGCATCCAGTTTGCTGAAGAATTTGGCATTGGTCAAACGGCTGGTAATCTCTTGCTGGGTGGGAAGCTGGTAATGTTCTCTGAGCAAAGCTTTGTTGAGGTCACGTGGATCGATGCAAATGCGTAACTTTCCAGAGCGTTTTTCATTAACTACCATCGAGTTGACCCATGCTGTCGGCTCATTCACTTTCTTAATTATTCCTTTGGATTCCATATCTATTAGCTCGTTGTGGACACGTTCTCTCAGTGCTGAATGTGTATCCCCTTGTAATGTGTATCCATATTTTTTAGTTCTATTGTTGATGGTGTGTAAACGTGAAATTTTAAGTTTGTTTCATGATGACAATATGCAACTCTGTTATCATCATTCGTTTCTGCAAGTTTTCTGCTAGTTGAGGAGCCATAGGGCGAGAACAGCCACACCCGTTTACTGCTTGGCCAGATTTATGCTAACGACTGATCATCTATCTGGACAAACTTAAGCAAGCAAAACATAGTTCGTCTTCAAGTTCGTCTTTGTGTATATACGCGCAAACTTACAGATCATCCGTCAAGATGCTTACGAATTATTTGAGTAGTTTGTTTATTTAGACGAATATGCACGGGTATTTCGACTTGACGCATCATCCTTCTGTGAATACAAATGTGAAACGAGGACAAACTACGGAAAAAATGATACTTCGTAGTTCATAACTCGCTCCAAAATTTGTGTAGTTTATTAATACATAGTTCGTCTCGTGTTTATACTTAGACGTATGATCTGTTAGACGGATCATTCCTCCAAACAGATGATCTGTCTCTAGTATGAAAATTGACCTATACTAAAAATTAACAAAGGCGGACATGATCCTGATTTTGCAATCGTGACTTTTGCTCATTAACGATTTTCACTAAATCTGACATTGATAGTTATTCTTCAAGGCAATATCTATATCATTATTGGAGTTCCTACATTCTGTATTATTGGTAAATAGCACAACAACTACATGCATCTTAGCATTTATCACAAGTTCTTGAACTTTTTATAAGAGCTTTAAACTTTCCTGATCAACCTGAGCTCTAGTTCATTCGCATCAAGGTGTATCAATTCAAAATGTTGCTATTTGGGTACAACGCTCGAATTACTTTTTCCAAAAAGACATCAATCACTGCAGTTCAGAATGAAAGAAAATCTTGTCTCGCACAAAGGTTAATTATAGGGTAGCATTTTGGAGAGCCAATCCTGCCATAAGTCAATGAAATGGGTAAGCTTTAGGTGATTATTCTGACATTAATTACGACAAAATTATACCAAATAAGATAGAAAGTATATACAATATGTATAAATTGCGACAGCAACTGCAATGCCCACAAATTGTTGGTATGTTACAGTCCACAAAAGTCTGATCGATCATGTTAATTTTTAGTTACTTTGTGTTGCAGTTTTTTCTCCTTTGCGCGTTAACACAAAGCAGTTATGCGTCTACCGATTCGTTATTGGGACTGTATGCCATCCAATTTGTATGCGCAGTCGACACACAGTATTGTTTGGTAAATTGCCTAAAGGACTTATCAAGCGCAGCAAAATCATTCAACTTAAATTCCTGATAAGGCTAAATTACCTGAAGGAAGTATCGTCACATGATCGAAAATTGGTTTGTGTGGAGCCAAAAACATTTGTAGAAATACAAGCGTTTTTGTTGATGTTGAACATTTTGATGTGATGTTCAACAAGACATCATTCTTTCCTTGTATTTTTGGAAAGTTTTACTGTTTCTACTTTTTATTGGGGACTGTTGTGATCTTTACCACAGGTCTTTGATGTCCTGTGTAATAAACGAGCCAATTTAAGATCGCTGGACAAAGAAAAAATAAGTGTTTCATCCATCGAAGTATTTCACGATTTTCAGGTGTGTTGCGGGTAGACTATGAATCTTAATTAGCATGAATTTTTACACTTAGCATGAATTTTCGAATTTAGCATGAGAATTTTTGAACTTAGCATGAATATATTTGAATTTAGCATGAATTTATTTGAACTTAGCATGAATATTTTCAGTTAGCATAACTCTGTTGAAAGAATGCAGGGTTAATCAGAACGAAAAATATTTTAAAATATTTCTTAACTTTTAAACAATAAACATACCAAATTGACATCGAAAATTCTTATATCAATTATTTTGAAAAACTATCACCACGCAGATTTTGTTTATTCGTGTGTTTTTTTCACACAGCCCGTAACAGTAACATTACATTAGCAGTTACCAGTGAAATTAATTGGCGTTCTTGTGATTGGTTTCTTTACGCAATAAGTACTGAATTAAGTACTTTTATTTTATGATTGTACTGTTTTAATTTTTCCATAAAGGTTTATCACACATATGATTTGGTGTATGTAAACTGTAAGAATGATTTCATAAGAAAAATACTGATTACGTTCCATTTCATATATAGCGATCTTGTACATTGTTTTATCCCTGGTTAAATGTTTTAAATATAAATGAATGTAAAATTTTAAAGCGACTATGAGGAAAGACTTGTTAAATTGTACAAGAAATTTTTTTTAGCTAACAAAATAGTTATCGTCTTCTGTCTTCAGCACTTTCCGTCGATCCCGAACGTTTAGCTTTATCGTTAAATGCTAAAGCCTACATCAACGTGCCATTATCCATGTGAAAAATTTTCGTAAATTGAAGATTCTCATAATGTTATCACACCCATACTCAAAGGAAATTGAAGAGAAGTGTTCTTGATCCTGCAAAACTAATTCTCGCTACATACCCGGCAATTTTTGTGTTGTTTTTTGATGATACTATGATAAGTAGCACAGCAACGTAGCTAAGTTCTGAAAAAATAATGTGACCTGATTTTGCCAAAACTTAAAAAAAATAATTTGTGCATTTACTTTCGAATCTTACCCTGCTTCAATCCAGCAGGTTACCTAAGGACCGAAATACTTTTCGAACATTTGCGTTAAATTTTGTGAAATGTTATAGAAATCTCTTGTTCGAAGATCACACTGTAAGAGATCTGAAAACCATGTTGCATAATTAGTTACAGCTACTTCCACATCAATTTTAAGTTTCTTGACAGCTTTAAAGCTCTCGTACAGTTTGGTAAAGTTGTGGATATTAAAACACAACAGCAAACCATATAGGCATGTGCATGTAAAATGTGCGTAAATTTTGTTTAGTGTATAGTTATATTTATAGTTAACCGCAGGCCGTTACGAAGGACAGGGTGAGCGGGCGTTGGACACACTCAAGTAATATTTTCGGCTAAATAAGGCTTGTTTATACATGTACGTAAGCGTGAAAAAAAAACTAAATCTTATTTGTGTTGAATAACCATGTGGGTGTTGTTCCTTTCAGAAGACCACGCCGTATAACCACACCCATTATCGAAAAAGTTGATTTTCAACTCTTCTACACGGCCTTTGGTTAAGTCATACTCAAGCTTTCGTATTTCATAATTAATCTAAACTTTGGTTTCTCACTCCCAGGCGAAAGCAAAATGCCTTTGTTTCTTTCTTTCGCTTATTTCTTATTTGAAATCAGAGTTATTACTGTTTAGTTTAAGTGTGTTTTTTTAATCTAAGAAAGTTTTAGTTTTCATTTTGTTTTGAAATTTCATGTTTTATATAAGTAATATGTGTTTGTCTATAGTGTTGAAGATATATTGAATGTAAATGTCATCATTTCTTACTTACACTTGCATTGAAAGTTTCCAATAATGGAAGAGTGTAAATTTTCAATCTTTATTTTGTCTTAATTTTTTTATGCAAGCGTGGATTCGATAAGCTGCGTGATTTTACACCTTTCGGCATTTGCTTTGTTGTGTACGACTTTGATAAAGTAGGTCAGGTTAATATTTTGTCAAGTAAAGTAATCAGTTTAATGGACGGTTAACCAATTCAAAAAATAAAAATGTTTTAGACTTTTGATACCGAAGCGAATCCACGTTTGAAGTCCAGCATTGTAACACTGTAGATAAAGTACTGTTTTCAAAAAATATATGTTAACAAAAATACATTTAATTGCTTGACTTGGATCGTGATCCAGCACTCTTTTCCTTAATATTTTGTTTTATGATGATTTTGGTGTTAAGCACGGGCCACACTGTCGTCGAAATGCAACGAATTTTGTGACGAGTCGCTCGTCAACGAGCCGTTGTGACGAGTACATGTGCCACATTGTAACGATTTTCCGTAAAAGCATGGACGATTATCAGCGCAAAAGAAACTTCTATTATTGAAGAAAAATTCTACTGCTTCTAATTTCTGCAAAACGACGTACATACAAAAGAAGGTTCTGGGTACATCCCATAAATAAAAGGCGAAGGGCTTGTATGACACGTTGTTGCAAGAGCTTCGTCAAGCTCTATTGGTCGCAACTTTCAGTTCCCGAGCAACTTCCTTCCAATTATTTTTCTTTATATTGCGTGTATCTTTATAGTCAGGATGAAATTTGTCCCACAAACATCGCCTCTCTCTCACTAGCTCAATTAATATTTCTTGCCCATCCGCCATTTTGCAACAGCACAGTGAAAGCAGTGAACTCCATATATATATATATATCTGGAATGATAACTACAATACATTTTATAGATTTAAAATTGAAGCCAAAGTCCTAGTCTCTTGCGCGGTTTGTACGTCAGTTCCAGTCCTTCAAAGTCGAATATTCACGCGGTTTGTACGTCAGTTTCATTCCCCTGAGTGCCAAACATACACGGCCAATATAAATTTGAATACAAACTGCAAAAGCATAAACATATAAACAACATCACGACAAACAACACACTAGGCCAACTTCTCGCAAAGGTTATTTTTACAGCTAAAACTTTACTACAGTGAATTCGTTGTAACTTACAACTTGTAACGAGGAAAAGCCAACTGAAAATTACACTGTATGCTAAAAGACAATACAATAGAAAATATGACGAGAAAATATTCAAGCAAAATTTTTCTCTCGTCGGAAGGTAAATTTTCAAACGGTGTCAGACAGTGTTTGTCTTTTTTGTCATTTCAATGGATTTAAAGATCTGTTTTTCCGAAGAAAAAAGAAACTTGAATATCTAGGTTCATAAAAAATGTTGAGTCTATAACTCGCATTTTACTTTTTACAGAGTGATTGTATCTTTCATCGATTTTGATAGTGCTTGAAATACTAAATGGTTGTCATCTCGATATCAATAATTGAATATCCTTAAAGACTTTGATATGTTTTAAAGGAAAACCGCAGCGTAAAAGCAGATCGACTAAGTTCACCTCACCCTGCTTCTCGATTTATCACTTTGATTCACTTTCCGTGAACCTTTTCATTCCAAAAATTTCGTTATTTTTACGCTCTGGTCAAGATCCGAACTCTACCATTACCAAGGGACAAATGA